CCTCTTAAAACTAGTGAGGAAAAGGTGCTCTTTTTTCTTCTCCCCTCAGTGAAGCCTCCTCATCCAGGGATTTTATCATGTTTTTTGTTGCTGTTAGTAATTTAATCTCAGTACTTTATTATAGTCTTTATTTTGTTATAGTCTCCATTTTTTTCTTGATTTGGTGTCACTAATTTGTGCCTCAGAATTTTCCATTTCATCTAGTTTTATCTAACTTATTGGCATACAATTATTCACAAGGTTCCAAATGATCCTTTTTATTTCTCTAAGGATGGTAGGAATGTCCCTTTTCATTTTTGAATCTAGTAATTTGAAGCTCCTTTTTTTTTTTTTTTTTTAACTGACCAGTCTAGCTGAAGGGTTTTGCTTTATTGGGTTTTTTTTTGAAGACCTACCTTTTGATTTTATAAATTGTCTCTACTTTCCATTTCATTCCTCAGGCTCAAGTCTTTATTTCCTAATTTCTTGCTCTGGGTTTAATTCTATCTTTTCCTAGTTTCTTCAGGAAGAAATTTACATCAATTTGAAAATTTTTTTTTTTTTGAAGATTTTACTTATTTATATGACAGAGAGAGACACAGCGAGAGAGGGAACACAAGCAGGGGGAGTGGGAGAGGGAGAAGCAGGCTTCCAGCTGAGCAGGGAGCCCATTTGGGGGCTCCATCCCAGGACTCTGGGATCATGACCTGAGCTGACGGCAGACGCTTAATTGACTGAGCCACCCAGGCTCCCCTCAAATTTTTTTTTCTTGATGTAGATGTTTACACTTACACATTTCCTTTCATGCACCGTCTTGGCTACGTCTCTATGTTTTGGTATGTTGTGTATTTGTTTTCATTCATCTCAAATTATTTTCTAACTTCGAGATTGAGATTGTTAGGACTCAGGTTATTTATGAGTGTGTTGTTTCATTTCCATGTGTTTGTGAATATCCATGCTTTGTAACTGATTTCAAATTTCATTCCATTGTGGCTGGAGAATATACTTAGTATGGATAAATCTTTTAAAATTGGACACTTGTTTCATCTATTCTGGAGAACGGTCTTGTGTGCCCTAGAAGATTTTTTTTTTTTTTTTTTTTTTTTTTTGCTATTATTTCGTGGTGTGTTCAACAAATGCTTCTTAGGGCCAGTTGGTTTATGGTGTTGCTTGGGCTTCTGTTTTCTTGTTGGCCATTTGCCTACTTGTTCTATCCATTATCGAAAGTGAGATTTTGAAGTCTCCAAGCATTGTCATTGAGTTTCAGTTTTGTTAGTTTTTGCTGCTCGTGTTTTGTCGGTCTGTTGTAGGTGTCTATGTAAGTGTTATATTTTCCTGATAGAATGACCTTTATAACCGTATAAAATGTTCTCTTAATTTCTAGCAACGTTTGTTTTTAAGCTAATCTTTTATTAGTATAGCCTCTCCAGTTTTATGTTTACTGTTTACATGATATATCATAGATACATCATGCATATTTATATGACTTAAATCATTCATATATATCTAAATAATTCACATATGTGTACATGAATTATTCAATTATGATCAATGAAGGCATGTCAAATCAGTGGAGACATTATATATTAAATAATGCTGGGATACTGCACAATTATTAATAAATTCAAATTAGGATTCTTATCTTATACCATATGTATGTTACCAAAATAAATTCTAAGTCAAAAAAGGTACTAAATATTAAAAAAAAAAAAAAAAGTAAACATGTATAGAATTTGGGGGTAAAAAGATTTTTCTGTGGAAAAACATCAGGAACTTAAATGTGGAAAAAATGGATATCAAAATGACCACATAAAATGTAAAATTGCACATTAAAAAAAAAGCAAAATCCACAGGCAAATTGGGAAAAATATTTACCTCTTATATAACAGATATCGCACAGAGAACATGAACAATTAATACACAGAATACAAATGGCCTTATGAAGAGATACGAAAGACTTTATATTACTAATAATCAAAGAAATGTAAACTAAAACAAGAATCTATTTTTTTGTCTATCAAACTGACAAAGATTAAAAATTATTCTAATGCCCAAGGGTGCTAAAGAGACACAGGGAAAGAAGTAGTTTTATGCTCTGCCGTTGGGGTAGAAAACAGTACAATCCAATTGGTCTTAAATTCAAACTATTTCCTGCCTAGGTATTTCTTTTAATGAAAAACTCCTAAGTGTATGAAGAAACTTAATTACATACATATAATTGTTTAGCCCCAAACCGAAAAATTTCTAAGTGTTCAATAATTGGGCATTATACAGATTATGTTGCATATATATAGTGGAATGAGAAAGTCCTTAAACATGCTGTGGAAGATTCTTTAATGACATGGGGATATTATCATGATATAATAAATGAGAAGTTACGAAATGTATGTACAGTATAACTCCATTCTTATCAAAATAATATATAATATGTATATGCAAAGAAAAATGACCCAAAGGTTAACAGTTATCTCTGAGCATTCAACATCATGGGGGTTTTGGTTGACTTTGTGCTTCTCCAATTCCTCCTCAACCCCCACCCCCGCCGCCTCCCTGTTTTCTAGAATATGTAGGTCTTATTTTTTAGTAAGAAAAACGAATAATTTAAGAATTCATCAAGATGGTATTTTTTGCCTATTAATTTGGCAAAGATTACTTCAAAAGACAATACACAGTATTGGTTAAGATTTTGGGGTGAGCATGCACAAAACATATGCTGCAGGGGTAGTATAAACGGCTACGCATCGCATCGTTGTAAACTTGGCGGCGCAAATCAAAATCCCGAAAAACAGAGGAAGTTGTTTCACTTCTAGGGATTATGGAAGTCCTCGGGATGGACACAAAAGATTCATATTTAAACCCCAATGTCCATTTTAAAGTACATGGTTAAATAAATTACATATGTAGGCGACCATACTGTGTATTAAACATCACAACACAGGGTGCTTATTGACATGGGTCAGTATGTTAAGGTCAGAACAGTAAATATTATGTCCCATATAATACTGCTTTAATAAGGAAATGTGTTGTGTAAGTTTCCTAGGGCTACCATAACAAATCATCACAAACAGGGTGGCTTAAAATAACAGAAATTTATTCTCCCACATCAGGCCAGAAGTCCAAAATCCAGGTGTCGGCTGGGTTGCTTCCTTCTACAGGCTCTGAAGGAGCATCTGTTCCACGCTGCTGTCCTAGCTTCTGGTGGTTGCTGACAATCCTTGGTGTTGCTCGGCTACATCTGTATCACTCCAATCTCTGCTTATTGGCTCATGTCCTTTTTCCCTTTGGCTGGGTGTCCTCTCCTCTTCTTATGGGGAACCAGTCACCGGACCTAGGGCACACCCTCACCTAGTAGAACTGCGTCTTAACTAATTACAGCTGCCAAGACCCTATTTCCAATTGAGGTCACATTCTGAGATTCTGGGTTGACATAGATTTTTGGATGACATGACTCAACCCACTACTTGTATATAACATACATATAAGAACATTGGGTATCTAGCTGAACAGTATTGATCTCAGGGTGGGTTTATGAGGATTTAAATATTTTTTTCTTTGTGCTTTTCTGCATTTTAAAATAAAAAGCTTATGTACTGGAGTTGTATTTACATAGAGACTAAGTTCTAAATTTGTTGTAGAGGATGAACATTACTTGTAGTCAAAAATGACTCTCCCTCCTATAGCTCACAAAACACAGAATCCATCATTTTGTACATAGTATATGTTCAGAAACATCTAATACAGCTGAATCTTCCTCTAGCACTGGCACAGATTACTCGTCCTCTGGGTGAGCACTAGACTAAGTAATGGATTTGTGTTTATATGCTACATTGTACAAAAAAGGGGAAAAAAAGGTTTTCTAAGCACAGAAGTACAGGTAAATGGGTTCCAAGTTAAATGAGTGTATGACAAGACTACTGTTCTCCTTTTCTAATTAGGGGAAAACTAAATTTCTTTCATGTTTACAAAAACGCTAAAAACAATAGTGTTGAATTAGGAAAGACACTTAAGACCAAGGGGAAAAATAATTACTGATATCCAAAATGTACTCCTTTATGAGCTTTGGTACATCTCTTGAGTCTTTCTGGACATTTTTAAAGGTCAGGGGAAGAAAACTTAAGGAAATAATGATACAGTGGATATAACTATAGCTAGCTTCTGTCTTTTAAAAATTTTTCCAAGGTGTAACTTTCCTTTTGGAGATTTAGGACTAGGGTTTCTTTCACAACTGGATTAAGATAAATTATAGATAAAAGTCAATTAAAAAAAGGAGTATTGTCATGTACAGAGGCTGACATCATGGGTAGTCAAAGAATATGTTTAATAAAAAATAATTAAACTTCCATTTGCTCTATAGAACATCATAGAAAGTAATTTAATAAATTACAAATGACTTTTTAAGACGTTTGCTCAACTACAGAAAGCAAATTCAGACTACACAAAACACAACTGGTAAATATTGCAAATGTCCAAAAGAAGAATTGGACTAAGACTTGAATCATGAAACCTGAAACAAGGGCTATAAATACAAGGCAATAACAGCTATATTCTTTTAGTAACTACCAACACATACTTGGATATCCTTTTAACTGCAACTTTAGTATTATGTAATTCTACTGATTTTTTTCCTTATAACCCTTATCTTTACACAACCATATTTGCATTTTTTTAAGCTGACAGGTGGACAACTTTTCCCCAATCAATACTAAATAGAAGTGTCTTGAAACCCGAGAGAAAGTTTAACGTTAGTATTAGCCTTAATGCTTTGAAAACTGTAATTGCCTTATTACGTAGAAAGAGAATCACTAAGATGTTAACCAAATTCGTCTGATCATAATTAGGAAAATACTTTATCTCATAAATTTGATATAAATTCGCTTTTTAGAGACAAGATCTAGGGCTTTTTTTTCCCTTTTCTTTTCTTTTCTTTTTTTTTTTAATTGGGGAAAGAAAGGAATGAAGATTATGTGGATAGAACTAGAGGGAAAGAGGGAAGTATGGATGGTGTTGAAATACCCCACCAGCAAACTAAGTTAACTGTGTTTGAAAAACTTTGGCTATCTCATAGGTGTGTTCTAGTTAAACAAAAGTGCAATACTGCAAAGGGAAGATACTAAATATGTAATATATCATTTTCATGATGAAGAATTACTACCCACTTCTCCTGGATGGGCATTACAGTGACTATTGCTAAGACATTGCATAAAGAACTATCAATTCAAAGTACTATTTTGGGAAAAATACAAAAATCAATACAATCTCAATGGAACTTAAATGATTTTGTAAATACATGTAACACTGTCTCTCTAGTGAGGGATTAGTTATCTTACATACAGAAACATAATTTACTGGTAAAGATCTGGGAAAATCCAATATAATTGCTGGATTTATGACGAAACAACAAAGTTCTATCAAAACGTACTGAGTTATTTTTTTCTGTGGGAGAGAAGTGGGGTACTTTCCCCCCTAAATTTAGCCCCTCGCAAACTTAATCACTGACTTATCCAAGTATCAGAAAAATGCTAACATCTTTCTCTCCTTAGGATGTAAATGTTATTTTGTGTCCAATTCATTTCTAATTGTTTTTAATGTACATGAAGGTGATCCTGGAACTCTCCATCTTATCGGAATTAATAGCAGCTTTAGCAGGAGAAACTGTATCACAAATCAAATATCAGACAAATTTTACATGATAAAGGGTTCTAAGAAATTGATCAGAAGCCTTGGGCTTCATTTTTGTGGTTGACAGGTATAACATGTATAAATTTTTTTGAGATCATTCAAAGTGCATATTCAAAATGGGCCAACTCAGTATATTTAATATAAACTGATAACCCAACACTGATTCTGGGCAACATTTAGTCTGCTTATACCTAGCAACTAAAAAAAAAAAAAAAAAAAAAGAATTTAGACTATTCTGCATATTACTTTATCACTAAGACCTGCTCATGTTGGAACAGTTCCATGACATAAAACACAGAGAAATCTACACGAATAAAGCAAACCAACGGTTTCTTTTACATGAAGTATGCTGTGTGGAAAGATCTTCTCAGTGGTATTTCATGAGTTTGCCTTTTCTGAACCCTGGAAACAGACATTACTCATCAGAGACAGAATGATTTCTTTAGAGGAGGCCAAACTTTGAAAAAGTAAAACTAAGTATGTCTAGAGGGCGCCAAAGTCCCATGACTCAGGACTCTTGTAGGACTTAATTTTACTGATATCAGAGTTAAGCTCAGCCGAAAGCAAGTCAGATTTCTTGCCAGATCAACATGATATAGAGGATGCGTTTAAAAAACCCCTGAAAACAAGTAGAGAATTAGAAACGAATGTAAACTTCCTAAACTAACTCAGCTGAGGTAACAGGTAGCCAGTTCAATTGGCTGATTGGGAAACTTATTTCTTCTTTAAAACACACTTGTACCTGAATTGGAAACGTCAGCAGTGCATCACGACACGAGAGCGTTTTCATGGAATTAAAGCAGTGGATGGTGATGTAGACTCTACAGCTTTCATGACATTCATTAGCTGCCCAAATTATTGCTGAGTTTTGATCTGTAAATTATAGGTGTCAAGGAGGCTGTAAAACTATATTCAAATTAAATCAGTAAATATGCATCAAGTATGCTGTGTTCTCTGCAAATATATTAAATATACAACTCTCATGGAGCATAATTTTCATAAAATTAACCCCCAACAAAATTATAATGCCTTTTTGTTGTAATTTTACACCTTTATGTATTTGATAGTACATACGAGTTCAGAAACTTATACGGATCTTAAGAAATAGTACATGCAAAACGTCTCTGAAAGCAGTTTGCACTTCTAAACAAATAACTGAAATGTTCGGTCAGTAAGTTACTGATGCACTCAACACTGGGGTATTTACAATTCATAATTAAAGAAAAAAAAATCCAAAATCAGTTCATAATTTAAGTGCAGTCTGGGAGTCAGTCTTCGTTACTCGAATCTGAATCCTCGGACGACGACGACGTACTGTCAGATCCAGACGAAGCATCAGGTTTCTCTGAACCCTCATCTGTGCTGTTCTCGTTGAGAGGACTTGCTTCAGTTCCCCCTTTGTCCTCCTGGTCTCTACCTCTGGACTCTTCCTCCTTTACTTCCTGGGACTTAGACGAGCCCAAGTCACTGTTTCTGTTTTTCTGTATGTCAAAAGTATTGGACTGGGACGAAGTTGGCATGTGGAGATTAAGGCCTGGAGTGAGCAGCATCCCTGGGTAGAGTATATTAGACAGCAGTAGTGGGTTAAGAGCTAGCGGGTTGGCGGCTGCAGCTGTACTTAATGCAGCAGTAGAGGACGTGGAAGGAGAACTCGACACGGAGTTTTCTCCCCCGTTCTCTGAATTTTGACCCTCTGTCCTTTCTTTTTTTCCTTCTAGCTCCTTCGAGTCATTTCCCTTTTTCTCTTCGGTTCCAGATTCAGTAGGCTTTGTCAGGAGCCCCCCCATGCCCAGCAGATTAGGTAAGCCAGTCATTCCTGACAGCAGCATGGGGAACATGGCGGCCACATTTTTAGCTTCTCCTCCAGAAGAAAGACCGGCAGGCATTCCCATCAGCCCCGCGGTTACTTGCAGAGACTGCAAGTTTTGTAGGTTTTGTTGTAAGGCCTGAAGGGTTGTGAGATCCACACCTGGAAGTAATCCATTGGCTAACAAAGGATTGCCTGACACGCTGGTGGCAGTTGCTGCCGCCGCCGCCGCCGTGGCCTTGGCAATTCCACTTTTAGGCCGTCGCCCACGCCTGCTGACTTCTTCTCTCACAACAGGACCAGTGAGAATACGCTCAAACATACTCTCTGGAAGAAATCCCTGGGGAAAAAAAAATCAGTAACAATAGCTACATTAGAATAAAATCAGTAGCGATCACATTAAAATTGGTAATTATTCATAGACTGAGTCCGTACTGAAAGAACGTAATCAATTATGAAAGAGACAGTCTCATTTCAGATAGTAAGTAAGGAGGGGTGTGAAACAGCTCCTCCACTTCTCATTTTCTCACGGGGTAAGAATGCAGGAAGAGGCCTCTAGCTTTCTTCCACATGGTGAGGCATACGTGTGTAGAAGAGTTCTAGGGAACAGAAGGTCCAAAGGCATTTTCTCATGAGGTTACTTCCGCACCCTCACAGTTTCGCGTCATCAATTACTCTAGAAGACTACAGAAGTGGCCCTCGTCCAAGTTAGGAGAACGATAAGGAAAGAACAGAGGAAGTAAGTGAAAGGTTAAGATTACGATGAGATGCTCCATGTGAATCTTTGTCACTTTGGGAGTAAGGGAGGGAGATAGCACCATTTGAAGAAGATAGCCGAGTGATTCTCCCATGACTTTCTGGGCCCAGAACTCCTAAAAGTGGTAGGAGTTGTAGAACCTCTAGGCTAGCAGGCTCCAACAGAAATATAACGTAAGCCACATATGTAACTTTAAATTTTCTAGCAATTGCATCAAAAAAGGTAAAATAGAAACAGGGGACATTAATTTTAGTAATATAGCCTAACATAATTAAACCAAAATACTACCATCTCATTTCTATTTTTTCCAAACTTAATCTTCAAAATCCCCAACCAGGGTGGGGAGATGGGCACAATGGGTGAAGGGGAATGGTAGACATAGACTCCAGTTACGGAGTGAATAAGTTAGGGGATAATTTTTAAAATTAATTAATTAATTAAGGGGGGCGGAATAGAGGGAGAGGGAGAATCCTAAGTAGGCTCCACACCCAGCGCAGAGCCTGAAGCGGGGCTTGATCCCGTGACCCTGGAATCATGACCTGAGCCAAAAATCAAGACTTGGCCGCTTAACTGATGGGGCCACCCAGGCACCCCGAGTCACAGGAATAAAAAGCACAGGGAATAAAATCAGTGAAGTTGTGACAGTGTTGTGTGGTGACAGATGGCAGCTGCACTTGTGGAGAGCACAGTATAGACCTGTCCAATCACTGCGCTGTACACCTGAAACTAATGTAACATTGTGTGTCAAAAATACTCAACCCCCCCCAATCCCAAACCAGTGTTTTATACTTCTTACACAACCTAATTCAGGCAGCCACATCTCAAATGCTCAACAGCTGCATGTGTCTTGTGACTACCATTTGTGACCCCTCTGCAGAGCAGTTTCAATACCTCTCTCTCTCTCTTTTTTTTTTTTTAAGTAGGCTCCACGCCCAACGTGGGGCTGAACTCACGACCCTGAGGTTAAGAGTCGCATCGTCTACCGACTGAGCCAGCCAGGTGCCCCTAGATGGCAGTTTCAAAGACTCTCACGGTACTATTTAAAAATTTTGTTTTGAATTCATCAACTTATTTGTTTTCTTCACAAAAGCATTAGGGTTCACTGCAGAACAACAACAAAGATACAAGGGAAAGAAATCATCTGTAATTTCATCAGAGAAAACCATTGCTAATATCTTAGGGTGTGTATTTCATTTCTCCCTTGTTCATATATACAGACTCTACAATTCTCCCCACTTCCGTTTCTAAAATAAATAGAATCATAATGAACATAGTTTTATAGCCTGCTCTTTTCATTTGGACACTTATGGAAATAGTAGCTATTCTTTATTCAGCATTTACCACATGGGCAGGCTTGGCTTTTCCGAGGGCTTAATTACTACTCCATTTAACACACCGTGACCTTTTCCTCCCTTGTCATTGGATGTTCTTCTAAGATATAATTTTTGCCAGTTGTATAGTTTTCCAATATATCGATGGACCATTAATATATTCCCAATTTGTTACTATTATGCTATGATGAATATCCTTATATGTCTCTTTCCGCACATCTTTGGTTAATCTTTGTGGCCTTGCTCAAAGAGTTATCTTAGACGTTAAAATAAAAACAGATTAATGATCAGTATATATTGATTCTGCATTCTAATTCAACAAACATCTGAGAAATTTGTAATGTGTACTGCAAAATAAAAACTGTGAACTAAAACACTGGCACATGTTTACACAATGTTGCTAATTCTTTCTTTTCTTTTTTTTAGATTTATTTATTTATTTGACAGACAGAGATCACAAGCAGGCAAAGAGGCAGGCAGAGAGAGACAGAAAGGGAAGCAGGATCCCCGCTGAGCAGAGAGCCCAATGCGGGGCTCGATCCCAGCACCCTGGGATCATGACCTGAGCTGAAGGCAGAGGCTTTAACCCACTGAGCCACCCAGGTGCCCCACACTGTTGCTAATTCTTAATTTAAAACTTCATCTCTGATATCGTTAAATGGCAGGTAATTTTCTTTTTTGAGTATAGTTGACACCCAATGTTACATTAGTTTCAGGTGTACAACTTAGTGATTCGACAGGTTTATACAGGCTACCACGTTCACCAGAAGTGTAGCTCCCACCTGTCCGATTACATTGCTAGTCAGTGCCACCGACTGTAGTCCTTATGCTCTGCCTTTTATTACTGTGACTTATTCAGCCCATAACTGGAAGCCTGTACCACTCTTTCCCCTTCATCCATTCTGCCTATCTCCCCACTCACCTCCCCTCTGGCAACCATCAGTTTATTCTCTGTATTTATAGATCGGAGTCTGCTTTTTGTTTGTTTTGTTTTCAGTTCTAGATTCCACTTATGAGTGGAATCATATGGTATCTGTCTTTCTCAGGCTGACTAAATGGTGTCTAATTGTTAAGATGATGTGTGAGTTAGTATTTATGAAATTACTCACAGATTGCTTAACAACATCTCCCCATTCAGGAGCTACTCCGTATTCTGAATTCTCTTTTAGGAATCTACATAAGTCTTTCAAAGGTGGAGCAAATGCACCTCCAACCTGTAAATGAAAAAGACTGTTAGACACTTAAAAATTAAATTAATTTTTATTATATATATATAATATATATTAAATATGAACTTTCTTGCTTTTATTCTGTGCTATACAGAGTTTATTTAAGACACATGTATTTCTTGAATTACCTTTCATGTTATCTACTATATTAAAAAGGACTACCACATGCCAAAGGCACTGCTAATACACCGTACAGACATGTGGTATGTAAATTTTAAATGCTTTAACTAACTAAAATAGTAAAATGAATAACCACTGTTTCCTGTGCACTTGCTATGCTGGATAGGTCATACAGCCTCGTTCAGAGCATGTGCCCTCTGGAGTCAGACTTACCAGCTACTGGAACTGGGCAAATCAGTAAATCTCTTTGAGCCTCCATTTTCTGATTTATAAAAAGGGGATTACGACAACACTTCCCTCATAGGGTTTTATAAGGATAAAAATGAAACCAATTCAAGTGCCTTAGCACAGCATCTGGTGCAAACAAATAGTAAGTTCTCCTTCTTCTTTGTATATGCCATGCATCATGCTAAGGACTTTCAGTATATATTTTAGTTCTCACTATATCCTTTGAGAGAGTATTATTTCTGTTTTTCAAATGAAGGAATTAAGCCTCAGAGAAGTTATATAAGTCACCTAAAGCCAGCTAGTAAGCATGAGAGCCAGCTTTCAAACTCAGGTTCCGCAAAGTCATGCTCTTACCTATTACGTAAATTAAAACCCTGAAGTATAAAATTAAGCACATCTTTTGCTTGTGAACAGTGATACAGCCAATTAATCCACAATATGAAAAAATTTTAAAACTACATATGATAATTAGTAGGACATTAAAACAAAATATTTTGAAACTTCAATGATTTGGATCTACCAACTTAATGTTCCTTTGGTGTCTAAAGTTAATTCCTCTTTCTATACCTCTCTGAACATATACTATCTCTTGGTAGAATACAGACAGGACTTTAATATGGCTACACCACCTAGAAGTTACAGGTATCTATAGTTATAATACCTTAAGCACTCTTTTCTAATATTTTCTATAGTCTTTACTTAGTTTCTGTTGCCTTTTCCTTTTCGTTACCCCCTTTACTAAGCTCCAGTGTAAGCGGAGGCCCTTTGGGTGGTATATGGGGATTCAGCAGGTAGATTCTTTTCAATCCTTAAGCCTGTGTGCTACAGACTCAGAACAATAAATAATACAAATTACGGGAGATGAACAGACCCCTTGTCAGGTTGTAACAATTAGATAAAATTAGGAGTGTTTAATATCTAATAAGTAAAAACACAAAATTGTTCCATTTCCTTAAAACTGGCTAAGACTAATTTATTCCTATCCAGTAATGCTAACTTTTGTTAGAAGATGAAGTGCTAAGATTTGTAACACCATCTATATAATCACAAAATTAAGTAAAATGCTACTAAAATGTCATCTTGTCTTTTCCCTAATCCCCCTATGACACCATTTTAAAGTACAAACAAATGCTGAATAAGCTCTATAAACTTGGGGAAAATCAGTATTAATTTTAATGAGCTAGTGCACATAACAATATTAAAATTAAGGTAATCTGATTGTGACTGAAGGAACTCAATGAGAAATTTGCTGTTCTTACTCCGAGGCCATCTTTTTCTCTTTTTAATTTTATTTTGTTGCATGCTTATCTGCATAAAAAACAGAATAAAAATATCAGAGCTATAGGCCTGCAGAAGGGTGCCGTAAGTGTTGTATCATTTACTTTTGAGGTGAAGGAGACATTTACCAGTCCATAAACAAAAACAATTTGGGGAAACAAATGTTGAGCCACATTTGGTTAAGAAATAGAATTTAGAAAAACTGGACTCTTACCATTCATCAGTCAAAAAAGCAGTAAGATAAACACAGCAGTGCCTTTTTTCTATAAGGTACCTTTGTTTAAGACATTTTATTTTCATCTGTCAGAAAATTATGTAATAGGCTCATTTAAAGGAACAAGATACTTTATGGCCATCTGATGGGAAATTTCAGTGACAAAAATGTAATCTATGACAGCCTAATGAGAATGGTGGCTCTCTCATCAGTTTCTCACCCTCTGCAGCATGGCCTTTCTGGGTGGGTGTTGTGAGGGACTGTCTTATGTGCTGTAGAAAGTTCAGCAGCATCCTGGCCTCTATCTGCTGGATGCCAATAGAATCCTTCCCCTGCCTGCCACCTCCTCACCTCCCAAGTTGGGACCTCCAGACATTGCCAAATGTCCCTGCAAGACAAAACTGCCCTGTGCTGAGAACCGCTGCTTTGGATGTCAGGCCCTTGGGCGATGTCACGTGGCTTACACACAGATGTGTCAAGTGACTTATTTTATCCCATGGCTTAGCCAAAGATGTGGGAATTGAAATTAGATTGCATAAAATTATAGTCTATGTCTTTCCCCACAAATCTGCTAGTTTTAACCCATCTCCAGGTCTGTTTATAAACGATTAACAATAAATATACACATACCTTCCTGGCATTTCTTCTGTTGATCAGCTGAACACGTTCGTCTCCAGTAAGACTATTAACATCGAGTTTATTAGGGTTTCTGCAACGATGCCTTTTTTGTTTGGGCCTCCCTTCATGGAGCTGCACTCTCTAAAACATACAAGTAAAGAAACAGCTTTAAAATCTTTACTTGTGCAAACAGTGCAAAAGAGCTGATCTAACTAATTTAATTCTATAATACTGAAGATATATATTATACACTGAAGAATATGTATTTAATATATATTATACACTGAAGATACATATATATTATACACTGAAGATAATATTATACACATATTTTACCTTTAGTATATAATATATACATACATATATATTAAAGAGCTTACCCATTACACTTTAAAAATACTTAAACTTTAAATATTTTTATATTTAACCAGTTGACCTTAAACAACATGGGGATTAGGGGTACTGCCCCTGCATAGTTGAAAATCCACATATAACTCTTGATTCCCCCCAAACTTAACCAATAATAGCCTGCTGCAGCCCAGAAGCCTTTCTGATACTATAAACAGTTGATTAACACATATTTAGCATGTTATATTTATATTATATCCTGTATTCTTACAACAAAATATAAGTTGTTGAACCTACTTGTACAAAGTAGGTTGAAGAAAAGAAAATGTTATTAAGAAAATCATATTGACGAGAAAATACATTCTCAGTACCATACTGTAAAAAATCCACGTAAAAGTGGACCCACACAATTCAAGCCCAAGTGTTGTTCAAGGGTCAACTGTCTAATAAAAATATTAAATATGACTTTAAGAAATATTATGTAAATCTTTTCCTCAAATTGCATATTTGAAAACATATTCAAGGCCATCATATGATCGAAACACCATCAGTCTGTGTGCATTCTGGCTCCTGAAATGAGGTCTTTCCTTAAATGCTCTTACAGATCACTGTGTTCCTAGCATTGTCTGAAGGAGTTACCAATAACCTGGAGCAGCCTCCTCAAAATCATACAGTTCTTTACTTTTTCTCCTGATAAATTTCATCTGAAACATCAGATGTTTTTCCGTGCTGATACAATCCATGTTTGTGCCAGTTGTGGCTTTCCTCTTCTCTTCGTCTCACTAATAGTCTTTCTTATCTCTCCTCAAGTAATCGACACGATATTAAAAGATATTCTTGTATTTTATGAATGGGAACCAAGGCTTGGAGAGGTTACTAACCTTCCTCGAGGTCATGCAACTAGCAAGTGGTAGTATCTGGTAATGAAACTCTTTCCATCAAACCATGCTGCTTACCTCTATAATTTTAACAAAGCAGGGCTTGAGGTCAGTTTTGGACCAATGAGAACAATGCAGGAGAGGAATGCTCAGACTCATCAGCGTGGCAGACGCATCCCTTCACAGCCTGGACCTCAATTCACCTTTTCTATCCTGTTACTATTACCCCACAGACTTCCTCACATACACCCTGCAATACCAGACTGGCCGCTCTTTTATGAATATGCCTTAGAGTCCTATCCTTTTTAACTCTTCATACTCATTTTATAATGCTTAGAATATTCTTCTCTTGAGTTAACCTGCTCAAATGCCTACTTGTTCTTTATCATCCACCAGTCACAGATGTCATCTCTATCTTCTTTCCACATTTCCCCAGATACTTTGCCTAGGCAGAATCACTCATTACTCTTTTCTATGTTTCCACAGTACTCTACACATAGCCCCGCTATTATATATGTTATAATTAATTAGCTATAGAGATACCACAGAGTGTGAGAGCTAAGAAATGATTAATGTGAGATATCCTTCAGAAACCAAAACTAATCAACTTGTATTATCACAACAAATGCTGTTTTAAAATCTTGATATTATATAATATTACCTAAAAAATTATGATAAAAAGTTTATTTGCAGTGAAAATGATGAATGGCTTTTAAGTTTAAAAAATTAATAAAGAAAAAAAAATTAATAAAGATTCCTTTGCAGTGATGAAAGACAGGAGAAACCCTACAGACTACAGTGGAAGTACCACAAGGGGAAGAACTTTATATCGTTCGTGGTTTTATCCTCTATCCCTTAAAAGAAGAACTAGCACTCAGTAGTTACTCAATGCAAATTACTGACTGAATAAAATGTTATTTTCTAATATGTTAAGTTACAGGGTTAAACTAATGATTCTCATTACTGTTAGAACTGCAGTATTCATTCTATGCTTACCCATCATATTTAGCGAAAACTCCTCCCCTCATAATTATAAAAGCTTTGTTTTTTTAAAAAATCAAAAGTATTTAAAGTTTGAGAATTAGTGGCATCCTTAGAGAAGACCAGGGATATAAAAGGCATCTGAACGCCAAGCCTGAGGCAGTCTGGTGTAGACAACCAGGTTATTTCCTGATGTCAATAATAGCGACGTAAGGGGCGCCTGGGTGGCTCAGTGGGTTAAAGCCTCTGCCTTCGGCTTGGGTCATGATCCCGGGGTCCTGGGATCGAGCCCCGCATCGGGCTCTCTGCTCAATGGGGAGCCTGCTTCCTCCTCTCTCTCTGCCTACCTCTCTGCCTACTTGTGATCTCTGTCAAATAAATAAATAAAATATTAAAAAAAAAATAATAGCGACGTAAAATTCTAGACAAAGTACACATCACAGACACAAAGACCACTGTAGGGACTGGAGTGTGGAGCTTTTGTGGTTCCTTTATGTAAAAAAGTAACAAGGTAATTTTTTTCTGTTAATAAAATAACTTTACATTTATACGGTAGTTTTTAGTCTTCAAAGGACTTTCACTCATTGGCTCAGTAAATGTTTATAAGGGAGCTAAACACTATTCTGTGGATCAGGAATTAGGTACTAAGTCCTGGGGATACAAAGGTGACTAGGATATCGTCCTTCAGAAGCTCACAGAATATAAACAGCTGCGCTGGGTTCTCCATTCTAATGAAGGCAGATACAAAAGGCCCGCTACCTTCACTGTTTGGAGGATCTGATACGAATTTGGTATATTAGCACCTGATAGTAAAGTACTGCAAAATGCAATGACAGATTTCTGTGAGTAAGAAAGTCATATGCCGGGGCACCTGGGTGGCTCAGTGGGATAAAGCCGCTGCCTTCGGCTCAGGTCATGATCTCAGGATTCTGGGATCGAGCCCCACATGGGGCTCTCTGCTCAACGGGGAGCCTGCTTCCTCCTCTCTCTCTCTCTCTCTGCCTACCTCTCTGCCTACTTGTGATCTCTGTCAAATAAATAAATAAAAATCTTTAAAAAAAAAAAAAAAAAAAGAAAGTCATATGCCTATGAGACAGTGAGCACAGAGTATCTCAGGAGACAAAAAATGCAAATGAACTAAAACAATTCTCGCTCTGATGAGAGTAGACTTAGTGTGCACCTGCAGAGACACAACAGCAGTACTGCGGCAGCTTGAAGAAGAGCTTACGAGTAGTAGTTTGGACGCTGGAGTTAAGACTGTGCCCTGGACTACTTACTTCCAATTTCGGTGTTTTAATTTATCCAGAAAATAGTTACAATTATGCCATTCTGATAAAGGTGTTAGGAGTGTTAAATGGTATATTGGAGATAATTTTCATTATTAAGTGCAGAATGGAAAAATGGAAATGGCACTGTGTTCTATCAGGGGGAAAAAACGGTCATTATTTTTTTCTGCTTATTTTTCTTACCCTTGGGCAGAACACATATTTACATAAGTGGGTAAAAACGTATGCTTCATCATTATGGATTTGATAAACCACAGAAATAAAATATACCAAGATCTGTAAGGCATCACCTACAGGAATAAAAGCTCCTAAATCTTCCACATAACCTGGGTGCTCCTTAAGCCATTTTTCCAAATCCTTTCTCTTTGGCGCATCATCGCCTGCGAGTCTTGTCCCGTCTTTGAGGTTAATGACTGGAACTGGACTTTCCGTATCAGGAATTCCTTGAGGTTGAGTGTAGGACAGTGCTGGAGTCATCCCTGTAGAAATCTGTGAGGTGGTCAAGCCCAAAGTAACCTGGAGAGAAACAACCAAGTGAAAATTTTATTTCTATGCTTTATCGTTCGATTTTTGGTCCAGTAAAGAAAATCTTTTTGAAGAGGAAAAAAGTAAACTGTTTAAAATTCTCACGAATTTTCCAAGTTTAAAATTTTCACGAGTCTTGGTCAGTGCTAGATTCCTCTGAGATAGAATCTAGAAGTACACTCTAATTTCCTAATTAATATTTTTACTCTCTAAGATATTCGCAAAACAGCAATATGTATATTTACATACTTTGGACTCAAATTTTGGACTCAAAGATCAGTACTTTTTACTTACATGGTTAGGTGGTTTATTTCTGTTAAAAAAGAGGATGTCAACACCTTCTACATTCTTCCTTCTTCCCCGCCTTTTTTTGACTATAGGCTGGTTGTCTAATCTAACGCCATTGGCACCAAGGGTTGACTGAATGGAAGTACCTAATCAAATAAAAACATGCAAAATAGTGATCAAAATTTAGATCTTAAGCAAATTAAAAGTACTTATTTTTCTAAATATATGAAAGTGTTAGTTCTTATTTTACAGCTCCTAAATCCAGCAATTTTTGGGCTAAAACACCCCCATTCCTCATTTAAAAACTCAGAGAACTATAAGTAACTTCTTGACTTGTCTCTTCTAATTTTTTACCAGGATAGTCACACATCTTATCTTTCCCTTTTAGAGGAAGAAGCAAGTCTTTCTCAAATAAAAAGACAAATCCTTCCTTTTTCTTTGAATCCATTAATTCCTACATTTTCTGAAAGCTTGTTTTTTCAACTATCTATACTTTCTTGTGCCAAGTTTTGTTTTTTTTTTTTAAATTTATTTATTTATTTGACACAGAGAGAGAGATCACAAGTAGGCAGACAGGCAGGCACAGAGAGAGAAAGAGAGAGAGAGAGAGAGAGAGAGAGAGAGAGAGAGAAGCAGGCTCCCTGCTGAGCTGAGAGCCCGATGCGAGGCTCGATCCTAGGTCCCTGGGATCATGACCTGAGCCGAAGGCAGAGGCTTTAACCCACTGAGCCACCCAGGCGCCCCTTGTGCCAAGATATTTTATTCCAGAGTCTTCTCCTCAACTTAAAAACATGGCCTAACTCAAACAAAAAATAAACCTCGTCCCTGGGTTCATGAGCTGAGCCAAAGGCAGATGCTTAATGCTGAGCCAACCAGGCATCACAAAGGAGAATTTTTAGAGCAAGTCCAGTGTATCCCTGAATAAGAAGTTGCCCTTTGGCTGGTCATGTAACCTTATGGAGGCCACTTATATTCGCCACATCTCAGTTTCAAAATGGTACCTTAATTCATATGGTAAGGAATAGCTAGTTACAATGATTAAAAACCATGTTTGCATATAAAAACACAATAGGAATGTCACATAACTTTTATAATTTTAGTAAAAAAATTTTTACTTTTTTAAAATTATTAACATATAATGTATTATTTGTTTCAGGGGTACAGGTCTGTGATGTATCAGTCTTATACAATTCACAGTGCTCACCACAGCACATCCCCCTCCCCAGTGTCCATCACCCAGCTACCCTAACCCCTCAGCCCCCTCCCCTCCAGCAACCCTCAGTTTGCTTCCTGAGATTAAGAGTCTCTTATGGTTTGTCTCCCTCTCTGGTTTTATCTTGTTTCATTTTTTTCCTCTCTTCCCCTATGATCCTCTGCCTAGGAATGTGACATAACTTCATAAAAAAAAAAAAAAAAGGAAAATTTTCATTGTCTACAAAGTGAATTTCATTATAACCAGATTTTATAAACATGATTTAAAAATACTTTCACTGTAGTACATTTTAGCTATAATAATAAACTTTCCCAAAGTATCATTTTAAGAAGTATCATTCTATTTTATAAGATGTTCTCATGGTTTCTTATTCGAATATGAATGAGATGGCTTTCATCAGCCCCTTTCCTGCATGACCCCCCAACCCCTAGTTCCTGTGCCAGCTCAGTTTTCATGTTGTCTATAATGTGGATTCACCTTTTCTAAGCAGGCTCTGCTTTCATACAAATCTCTCTCTAGTAGGAATTTACACACTAGCTAGGTCAGTCTTATCACAAAGCCATACTATTAAGCTTCTGGTCCATGCTGTTCCCTGCCCTTCTCCCCCTTCTCTCATGAATGTCACTTTCCATGATCTGACCTTCCTCTTACAGACCCTGTTCAATTCTACCTCTTCCAGAGGACTTCGCCTAAGTTTCTACACAGTAGTGACTTCCCTCTTCTCTAGTACTTTTTAACTATAATGTGCTGTGCAGCAAAACATATTATCTTGTTTTTTAAATATCTTGGCTAATATTTTAACATTTAGGTCCTGGTCTACCAAGTAACTGAAAGGTAGACCGTGTCTTTCTTACTTTCTACTTTCCCTTTACTGCTATTCCAATGTTATATAAAAAAAGTACTTACTATATATAATTCTCTCTGGAAAAAACAATTGTATACACACCAAAGTGTACATTTATAAACATACTCTATTTGGCCATTCATAAACATATTCTACTTGGCCAGTTAGGTACTATCGTAATGTCTTTTATTTTCTTTCTTAAAAAAAAAATCCAGCTACTGGGACACCTGGGTGGCTTAGTCTGTTAAGCGTCTGACTCTTGGTTTTGACTCAGGTCATAATCCCAGGGTCCTGGGGATGGAGCCCTCTGTTGGGCTCCCTGCTCAGCGGGGAACCTCCTTCTCTCCCCACCTCTCATGCTCTTTCTCGCTCTCTTTCTCAAATAAATTCTTAAAACAACAACAACAACAAAACAAAAAACAAACAACCCAGCTACCTTGACTTATTTCTGAGAGTGATTTTTAGAAACATTATTGATTTATTTTAAGCTAGAATCCAAAATGGAAAATTTAACCTATCTATTCTATAAAGCTTGTATTGTACTTATCTTAGATGTAATTATAACAATACTAAAAATAGCTTCTTTTTGCTGAATGCCTACTAGGTGCCGTACACTGAGCTAGGTTTAACAAATGTTTTCTTAAATCTTCAAAAACAAAACAAAAACATAGAGTATTATTAAGCCTATTTTATAAATGAGATCAGAAACATTAAGTTTTACTAGCCCAATGTCACAGCTGGTAAATGACAGAATTCAGCCCCAGGCTACCATCATCTTCTGTTCACTTTTCTAGGTAGTTTCTGGAATGGGTTCTTTAGTTTTGTCCTACTGTAATTTAATGCTATTTTACTATTCCCTTCATTAATTAAATTACATGACAACTTGTATCTTTACTTGAAACTTACAGATACAATTCAGAGGGTACCCACCTAAACGTAAAAAGGGCTTTGCCTTTGGGACATTAACAACTATAATAGTAGCATTTATTCAGTATCTAATTCTAAAACCTGTGAGGTTTTAGATTTTAACATTGGCTAAATTTTAACATTGGTTTAGCATCTAATTAAGTGCCAGGCTCCGTAGTAGCCACTCTACATGTATTATTTAACCCACCCAACAAGGCTACCTCTCTCCTACCCCAATGCCTCATTTCATAGACAAGAAAAGGAAGGCAAAATATTATTAACAGATTTCCTAAAAGTTGTGTTGGAAGACAAATCTAGATTTCACATTCGCAATTATTAAGATGGATGAGCTGTAACGCTTAGATAATAACTCTATCTGGTTTTATTTTTATTTATTTTTATTTTTTTTTTTAAATTTTATTTATTTATTTGACAGAGAGAGATCACAAGTAGGCAGAGGCAGGCAGAGAGAGAGGAAGGGAAGCAGGCTCCCTGCTGAGCAGAGAGCCCGATGTGGGACTCGATCCCAGGACCCTGAGATCATGACCTGAGCCGAAGACAGCAGCCCAACCCACTGAGCTACCCAGGCGCCCCTCTATCTGGTTTTAATGTTTAAGGCTTTTAAATATTTTGATTTGCTGCAGACTGTGTTACAATAACTGCTAATACTATTAACGATGATGTTATTTACCCAAGGGTTACTTGAAGGTGAAGGCTGTACAACCTTCAGCTGCAATAGCAGTAAAATGTTCAGATGACAGAAGTGTCAATCCCATTTATAATGGTGGTATCAGAGTACAAGCAGTAGTATTTCTTATTTTCTTTTTAGAATTTTATTTACATTCAACTAATTAACACACAATATATTAGTTTCAGAGGCAGAGTTCAGTGATGCATCAATTGCATCTAATATCCAGTGCTCACTACCTCCTTAATGCCCATCACCCATTTACCCTATCCTCCTACACCTTCCTCTCTTTATTGGTTTTAAGATTTTATTTATTTATTTGAGAGGGAGAAAGAGAGAGAGAGAATGCGCTCAAGCATACGAGCAGGGGGAGAGGCAAAGGGAGAAGCAGGGAGCCCGATGTGGGGCTGGACCCCAGAGATCATGACCTGAGCCAAAGGCAGATGCTTAACCAATTGAGCTACCCAGGCACTTCCCCTGCCCTTTTCTAAAAAAATCAGAGCTCCCCTAAATACAATACCGTCAAGGAAAACCACAGTTTGGGGAAGTTACGCTTCAGTGACAGAAGCAGGGCTGGGTCATATTTGAACTGCAAGCTACACATCTCTCAAAGTCTAGTAACTGGAGAATTACAACGAATGGTTAATGAATCTGTAAGAGACCAAAGTAATGATGATGATACTAATTTATAATTTAATTATAATTTATAATTAAAAAGTCATGGTAGCATCAATTGGGAATAGCTATCAATTTAACACTTATAATAAAGCATTATGTTCCCCCGTCCTAGGAGTTCCACACACCGTGCGCGTGTACAAAAGGAGTTGTGAAATGTTTCCAAGTGCTGCATGGCAACCAGACTTAGCAGAATACTGAAACAAACTGTTTAGCTTTATGTATATGGAAGGTATAATGGAAGTTCAAGTCATTAATGGGCTTTATTCAACAACTTGAACTTCTTAAAGATGCAGCTGATCATGAGTAAAATTTTCAATTTTTTGATACCACATCTTATAAAAGGGACACAGATTAAAGCATGTTACACCAAGATCAACAAAACAAGCTTCTTATTGATTCCTCAATACCTACAGAGAACACAACTCATGGCTCCAATTTGGTATTTAATAAAAACTGTTGATTCAAAGTGTCAAAATGTTGGAAGAGAGACAGTCCCAATTTGAGAGGAGGAGATACGATCACTGCTTCCAAAATGTGAAGACTATCATGGAGACATGGGAATAGGCTGATTCTGCAATGCGTTTATAAACACAGAATTTCGGTCATTAAGAAAACCCAACTGCAGGCAGAATTTGCTTCCAAGTAAGAAGGAATTTTGTGAGGATCCCAGCTGCCCAGTAATAAAAAGGGCTGTTTTAGGTCAGCACAATCTTTTCCTGCAAACATTCCACGAGAATCAAGTATTATCTTTCAGGGATTCGTTGTAACAATTCCTGACTGAGGACTGAACTACACTATCACTAAAGTCTTTCTAGAACTTCTCATTCTAACTTCCTCTACTAATCATCACTATTTGTGATTTAGGTGTTTGCCTTTTACACTATCTGCTTTCATGTTGAACTGCTGTCTGAACTTGTATTGATATAAAACGACTTGACAGAGTATTTCAAGCCAAATATTTAGGACCCTGAAACAAAGTTGCACCCTGCTTTAAAATATTATATTAAGGGCGCTTGGGTGGCTCAGTGGGTTAAGCCTCTGCCTTCAGCTCAGGTCATGATCTCAGGGACCTGGGATCGAGTCCCGCATCGGGCTCTCTGCTCTGCGGAGAGCCTGCTTCCCCCTCTCTCTCTGCCTGCCTCTCTGACTACTTGTGATTTCTTTCTCTGTGTGTCAAATAAATAAATTAAAAAAAAAAAAAAAGAATATAATGCTTTTTAAAAAAAATATTATATTAAAAGCCTCAACAGGTATTTATTAAGATCTAAAGATCTAAAATTAGATTATATACAGAAACAGAAATAAATAAAAGAGCATCTGGAAATGACAGCAGGAGTATTTCATGCCTAGGCAGTTACTGTCATCACACTCACCTGATACTGGTGTGGATGTGGGGAAATTGGCGAGGCTGGTCTCTGACGCGCTCTGCAGCTCCCGGAGCCGAGTCAGATACTGCTGTTGTCCCAGAGCACCGTCTTCACTGTCCAGTGGTCTCTTCTGAGCAAGCCCTTGCTTCTGAAATGTCAACTTCAAACCACCTTCCTGTCAACAAACACCATTATCGAGAAAGAAACAAAAAACTCATTTTAGTTATTAAGAGAATTTTTTTTACTTAGAAAAAGTGAAATAAAAACACTGAAACACTATTTAACTTCTCTCCTTATTCAGAAACCAACTAAAGAAAAAAAACCAACTCCTTTCTATAATGAATATTAAGTTTTCTACCGTAAAAGAAAAAAAATCCAGGTACTATACACACTTGTCTGAGCAAAACAAAGCTGTTCATGTGACTAGTACCTTATAACACAATCAGCTTCGGACATACATCTCTAAGTACATTATTCAAATGACATTTCAGAGGATGTTACCCGCGTATTACACACGGAGTAATCCATTTAGCTTCAAAAATCATACCGAAAAATGAAATGTTACTGATAACAGGGCATGCTAAATGTTTAAAAGAGGAAGTGCACTGACATACCATTTAAACATTATATAAAAGAACCAAAACAATTAGAATTTGTCAGACTGTTTAAGAAAAGCATTCTTGATCGGCAGAAGGACTATGTTCAGAAGTATAGGTAGAGAAACATATTAAATGACGATCCTTCTAGTAGAACATTCAAGTTTAATAACCTGGATATCAAAAAGAAAACAATCCAAATACCAGAAAACAAGTATGTGAAGGAAGTAAGAGTGAGAGCAGGCAGCCACTTGCAGAAAAAGCATGCTGCACACGTAATCGCAATCGGGTCCTAGGGCAATAAAAATAAACATACGTCTTTGATTTTCACTGTAAACTCCTTTTCTCGTACATGCTTCTTCACCTTTGACATCTGTGTTGACGGATCGTGTTCTTCTTTAACACCGGCACCTGGGGGAGTGGGTACACTGGGTTCACTGTATTCTGTAGCCGCGCCAGGACTGTCCAGCAGTTTTGTGGTATAGAAAGAAGCCACTGTGTTGGCATCGTAACTTCTTCGAGCTGAAGGCCACTTCCCTTTCAGCACTGTTTGACAAATACTGTCCAGCCGGTTGATCATCACACGGTCCTGGAAGAGCATGCCACATCAGAGTGTGATTTTAACAACCAGGCCAGACCCTTGGAGACGAAATGGCTCAGGGCCTTGATGGATTTAACCCTGGTACAACATACGTGCATTCGGTATGTATACATATTTGCACACCCATATCATAATTCTGTAAGAATTCAAGTACAAATTTTCACCGGAGTTCAAAAATGTTTATGATAGAGATAGTCTTCTGTTATTTTTATAACTATACAATACAGGTACCTTGTAAAAATTCAAACAACTCAAAACTAGATGAGAGTAGAGTTCTCCTAAAGATAAGTACTCTTGTTCTAGTCTAGTCACATACTGAAAGAATTGTATGAATCCAACCTAAACTTCTACCACTGAAAGCCTACGTACCTAAGTGAACTTTTTTCCCAAGTCATCAATGACTATGATAAATTTCTCCAAGGAGACTCAGCTCAAGCACCTATTTCATAACTTGTACGTGAACCTAAGTGTTCATTATCTCGTATTCTAAACATTCTAAGGTTAGGTTGAGAAACATACACATTCAAGTACACCTATTTACTTGATGACAGCAGTTGATACTTTTGATGCTAACACCAAAATGTGGCCCTCTGTTTTATGGTGACCTATCTTTCCATATGAGAAGAGTTATCTACCATTAAAGCAACAAGAAAAATACTCAAAAATGACCTCTTCCAGCAGGACAGTATTCATTTACCTTCGGCCAGTATGAAGCTGCTAGCATGTATCCCCCTTGTAAGATGTAAGTGGATTCTGGCGTCCCATTGTTCATCTGGAAACTATCCTGGGTCTCGTCCTGGGTAGTGCTCAGTGACGCGACACTCTCCTCATCATAGGCTTTCACGTGAGGGGTACCTTCTGCTAAGAACAATAATAACTGTTTCAAAAAGACTGCATAAAATAAGTTTATATATACTTTTCAAAACTTATATAAATATTCAGATACATTTAAAAAGGAAAAAGAAGTCAAAACAAATGGTAAAAAAAAAAAAAGGAAAAAATTAACCTAAAAATACAATTAAGTATTCATTGTTTAAATCACCTAAAATACAATTAAGTATTTATTGTTTAAAAAATTAGCACACAAGCAAAATAAGGGCATTAGGGAGCTTGACAGGAAAGGGTTAACAAAACATCCCTTTCTGCATGAAAATGTGACCTTCAGTAAACTCTGTAGGTCTGCTTGCTGGAGAGAGAGAAACTCCTGACTGATCAATTGCATTTGGACTGGGGACCATTTAAATACCTGATGGGTGTACTAACGTTCTCTAAGGAGGGGATTCCTACGATGGGGCATATCCTTGTGGCCACCCTGAGACTTATGTCTCTAGAGTTGTTACAAGGGACTCCAGCTCCTGCACCCTCAGTGTCAACTCATTTCCCTGCACATGAACTGTGGGCTGTGGCATGCACACTCAGGAGAGGGCCACCTGACACAACCCTGGGGGCGAGCTGTAGTTCCTATGCCGTACTGCTCTGAGTAGAGAACTGCCAAACGGGGCCTAGGATACTCTTGCTGGTCTGACTGCTTAACTTAAAAATCCTGGTGGCGGTTAGAGAACATAATCCCGATTTGTTCACTGATCAACTTGTTCAGGAAAAAATGTAACGCTAAATTGAAGGTAATGACAAAGAGCTAAGATCAGTGTGTAAAATGCCTAATTTCTGTTTGACTAACCCATTTTGCAATGCCTTGAACACTGAAGAGGGATTGTGTACCAGTCACGCTAGTTTCCTTCTCACTCGTGCTTCTCTAGGCAAAGCCGGACATGCAACATTGCAGTCAACAGTTTTAAACAAGCTTAAGTTATCTGAACCAAACGCTTTTCATTTTCACTTGAAATGTCTTAAAATAGCAAAAGCACTTTATGCATATACCTCGCTTTTGGACTTCTTCTTCTTCACTGTCACTTTCTTCTGATGAAGATGAGGAGGAGGATGATGAGGAAGAGGATGAGGATGAGGATGAAGATGATGCTGAAGAACAAGAGGAGGATGAGGAAGAACTAGAGCCTGATCGAGAGTGGGAGCAAGAGGAGGAGGAAGACGAGGAAGAAGATGATCTGGAAGAACAGGATGATCTCTCAGAATCAGAGTCAGACTCAGAACTAGATTCGGATCCTCTTTTGTGGACTCGCTGTTTCTTAGAAGCTGGGTTTGGAGTGAGGGGTTCTGTTCTGGCTGCAACCATGCGTCTGTCTGTTTCACCTTTTCCACCAGATTTCTGGTCTCCAGTGGCCTGCGGTAAAACACCGTTCTTTGGACTTACAGGCTCAGACTTTATTAGTGTCCTGGTTTCCTCAGAAGACATAGATTCTTCTTCAGAAGACTGAGGCTCCTCTTTAAGATTTTCACTTTTAACTTTCATATCCTCTAGAATAATACCTTTAGCATCTAGGAGCCTAGGTAGAGAGGTAAGAGGAGAAGCAGAAAGTGCTACTTGATATTGCTGTAAAAGTGGGGTAGAAGTCCTTGAATGAGCCATCTTACTTTGACTGTAGTTCCTTTGAGCTGCCATAAAGGAGAGTTCAGGATCACGAAGAATGTGATAGTCTGTTCGGCTCACCCCGTGTTTAGCAGCTCCAATGAGCAAGTCCCTATCATGAGGGCCACATTCCCACCAGACTGGTAAGTCTGGATTTGGATGGCAAAGCTTCAAGCGTTCAAACAGTTGTGGGTGCCGGAGGGCCTGTTCCCGTACTTTCCTTAGAAGTTCAATACGGTACAAAGTCCTAGAAGCACGTTCTTCTGTGATTGGCTGGATAAAAATATTTGGATCCACCAATTCTATGTTAAAACGAAAACAAAAACATTAACCTCAAAAACACTTTGCTATGGAGTTAGAACAAATAATGCAACTTCTAAAATGTACCTCTACTCAGTATCATTGTGTAGTTTCCAGAATTTCTTTTTAATATTTTTAAACGAGGAAAAATAGAAATTTTAAAAACAAGTGCCCACATCCATACATATAATATGGAACACTGGATCTTCTGAAAGTAAGTAAAACATAACATTTTTTAGAAGTATGTGAATAAAAGAATTTAAGAAATCCCCTAGGAGCTGTCTTTACTAATCTGTGTCTTAATCAAAGAGAAAAACACTTACCTGAACTCATTTATAAATCAAATGAAAACTGTTAAATCCTACCCCATAAACAAACCGAAGTCCACATATCCCTAGCTGCACCAAGAAACTCAGTGCATTAGAACTCACAGGAATACCAAAGGCTTTCTTAAAATTTGAGGGAAATGCAGGAACATCGTCAAATGCCATGTGAAGTAATGGCTTGAACTGATTCAGTTTCAACATTAGATCTTGTGCTCTTCCTTCTGATGGGGTTATATCTTTGTGGGTGGAGATACTGGCAGTTTAGAAATATTCAAGAAAAGATAAGGGTTTGTTGAAGTAATGCAGGGGTCACTGAAAGGAGCTCATACAACTTGAGCATCAAAATAATGAGAGTACTGGGTTATAACCTGTAGGACAAAATAAATACCCGAGTCCATTCTGATATGAATAAGTAATTGAACAGCGGATGAAACGGAAGCAACAGTCCTTGCTTGCAGCAGAATTCCACAGTAAAAACTGTTATACACAAGGACCTACTCATGGATACTTAAGTCAATGGGTGAAAAATTCGAGGATAAACAGGATTTGTGTGGTCTCAAAGTATCTCAAGATATTTTTAACTGCAGGGGAAAAGGTAGTGATTTTACACTGGAGAAACAGCTATTGTAACCAAGTGGTCGAGGGCAACACCGTCAGTGTTGGACATTCTGACATTCTGAACCCATGGTACTTTCTGAGAAGGACACACCACTTGTGTGTTGCAACCACATGAAAACACAAGACAAATCCAAATTGGGGGATTTGTGGCAAAATAACTGATCAGTATTTTTCTACGGTATCAGAGCCATGAAAGGCAAGAAAAACTGAGGGTCTTTTTTAGACTACAGGAGGCTAAGGGAGAAGACCAACTAAACAGAATGTGGGATCCTGGAACAAAAAAGGACATCAGTGGACAAACTGGTAAGATCTGACCAGTTTTACAGTTAAGGTAATGCCATTGTACTAATGTTAATTTCTTCGTCTGATAATGATACTATAATTAGTCATGCGAGAGGCAAGGTTAGAGATACATGGAAACTTCTATAGGTTTTTGCAACTTTTCTGAAAGTCTAAAAGTAGTTCAAAATAAAAAGTTTTTTAAAAAAAGAAGTAATGGAACAGGAAACAAGAGTGGGAGTATCCATTCTACCTCCAAGGTTTGAGAGATGTATGGTGCCTGTAGGTGTACACATCTCACTGGTAAGTAAGTGTGGCTATTTAAGAAAGAAAAGTTGTATTTTTTTCTTCAATTTATATTATGTTTTCAAACAATCACTAGACTGTTGGACATAAATACTTATTAAGTTGTTTGGATCTAATTATTCATTAAACAGAACTTTTGGCCTCAGGTGTTGCGAAAAATTAGAGACAGTGAGGGCTCTGTGACCTGAGGAAGTTTGGAAAACTAAGTAAAACTTCACTTCCATTTCCAACAGGAAAATACTATGTTTTCAATCATTATTTAGTAATTAACTCTTCCTTTTTGTTTTAAAACTGGAGTCCAAAGTGGTTAATTTATTCACTGCATTTTGCAGTGTTGATGGGAATTAAAAAATTAAAAAAAGGGCTGCCTGGGTGGCTCAGTGGGTTAAGCCTCTGCCTTCAGCTCAGGTCCTGATCTCAGGGTTCTGGGATCAAGTCCCACATCAGGCTCTCTGCTAGGCAGGGAGCCTGCTTCCTCCTCTCTCTCTCTACTTGTGATCTCTCTGTCAAATAAATAAAAAATCTTTAAAAAAAAAAAAGAAATGAGGGCCTCTTGGCAACCATAAATAATAGAAGACATAATACTTTGCTTTATCTTTCTTTTTAAACCCATTGCTAGTCTTACAAAGACGTTTAAGTAGACCAAAATCTACTCTGAATCATCTGATATTTGGGTAATCAAGTAATGGGCTACTCTATTCAGCCAACTGACAGCAGATCTGTTAGGACATAAAACTAAAACAAGCAAACAAACTCACGTGAAATTTACGTTCTTTTATTAGCCATTTATATTTTTACTATGAAATAGGAGTAGGAAGCCACTGGGTTTAGCAGTCAGAAATCATATTCAACAAAGAATGGAGACAGTGGCTTATAGCAGGTCATCAAGAGGAGTTGCTGACAGGTTGAGTTATTTTTCTGGGCTTCGAAGACAATGAAATTCACCCCGGAACAGGGCCTTGGCTGAGTATCAGCCCATCTGATTAGTTCCTTTTTTTTTTTTTTTTAAGGCTCTGGGTGATTTTTTTCTCCCCCTACTAAAACTCTTTAAAATGTTCTTTAAGTGGAGGCCTCATTCCTTACAAGATTATTCATGTAAATAAGCCCTCCAACACAGTTCCTAGCAGATGGACTAAAAACTACCGTATCATAACTACCTCCCCCGATCATCAGTCTAATACTGAATAAGCACTGGCCATTCCTCAAAACTAAGGGTATAACTTTATTCTTTTTAGATCTCATTTTAATAGCAGGATTTACAAATAGGGAGATCTTTGAACATAGTTTATTTACAATTCTGAAAAATTACTGATGTGCTGAATTAGTGCAGAAATAAACAAGTTGGAGATTTCTGAATTTTAGTACTTTTCGCTTCTTTTGACCCAAACCAGGAAAGACAGAAATTTTATACCTACCTTCTTTGGAAGGAAGACGACAAACCCTCCGACACATAGACATGAATGCGTACAAATACTTCTCCAAGCTATCATCGGTTTTCTTATGCAGCCTAGCCATAGCTCTAAATTTTGTCCAATCAAATTGGCCTCTATCAGGGTCAAATACCACTCCAAATGTAGACACTACTCTATAAAAGTCAGCTTCTTCTCTTCTTGTCCATCTATTTTGAGTCAGATTAAAGAAAAAGTCACAGTGGTTACTAAAATATTTATTAATGCTGACTATAATGACTATAATAAAATTAAAAACATTTCAAGTTTCTAACACTTTAAAGGATTAAGTGCAGGATACTGGCTTGCATATACATTTAAAAATGCTAGTTGAGGGGTGCCCGGGTGGCTTGGTCAGTTAAGCGTACGACTCTTAGATTAGGCTCAGGTCCTGATCCCATGGCTCATGGGATTGAGCCCCGTGTTGGGCTCTTTGCTCCACAGAAGTCTCCTTGGGTAGTCTCTCCCTCTGCTCCTTCCCCTACTCGTGCGTTCACACTCTCTCTGTCTCTCAAATAAATAAAGTGTTTAAAAAAAATGCTAGCTGACTCATCTATGCAACCATGCTTCTTTTTCCTTCAGGTAGTAACAGTTTTTTGCACATCTACTCTGTAAAAAAATATGCAGGGGATACAAGATTATGTAAGACACAATGACCCTACCTTTAGGGAAAAGATAAAACATTTCAAAGACATTTCTAGTATAAGGTAGTAGGTTATAGTTGTATGTTTTATAGAAACCAAGAATTTTAGGAGAGCATAGAAGATGGGAGGACCACTTCAGACTAGAGTGATGAAGAAGCATCACAGAAGTAAGTGGCTTATAAGATGGAACAAAGCAAAGATGAGCTTGGGAATTCTAGGAAGAGCTCACAGTATAAGCAAAGCAGGAAGTAATCTGCATTTTGGGCGTATGATGAGCATTCCAGATTGACAAGGATATGGCTCCTATTGGGGACAGAAGGAGATAGAGTTGGGGTCAGATTATGAAACACTCCATATACTTGGCTAAAAACAGTCTCCGTTCAGCTTTAAGAGGGTAATATTATCCTCACACACCAAAGATCTCCAAACCCAATCTAATTTATGGACACTTTTTCCTGGTTAAGTTATGGAATTGTGTGAACGAGAAAGAATGCATGACACCTTTGAAAAACATCAACAGGTCGTTTTCATCATAGTGCTACCTTAAGAAGATTAATGTAATACTGATGTAAAAAGAGCCTGGGAAACCAGTCAAATCGTAAGAAACTTGCATCTGGGGGACAAAAGTAGGAACAGAATACAAAAGATGGATTAAAAGATTACACAGGACATACAGAAATGTGACACAGTATCCACCATCAAAGAATTTATAACTTAGAAAGACAAGACATAGAAAGGCAAAGATCAATGTCCTTAACAACATTTCATATTAGTGTGACAATGTGTAGTTTACTTGGGTAAGTGCTATCTGAGTACAGGAAACAAGAATACTGTGAGCTGGACTGGTTGAGGAAAAATTATTAGAAGAGATAGGATAGATGTTGAGCTCTGAAGGAGAGGTTAGGTTTGGAGTAAGGAGTAGGAAAAAGGGTGTCCCAGGTGATAGGAACAACATCAGCTAGGTATTGAGTCAAGAATACATAGGACATTATGGCCGAGGGAACAGTACCGTATAGAATTAGAAATGCATGGTGACGCTGAAACTGAAGAGACTCTTGAACTGAAGCTTAAAAACAAACTTCATACCTGTAGTAAATAAGGAACCATGGACTATCATGACAAAACTAGATTTTAGGAAGATTAATCCAGAACCCACCAGCCAAGGGAAAATGCATGTGGGAGGTTAAAGATGGCCATGAATTCCCTGCCACTCTTCCCACGCAATCGATTTCCCTCTCCCTTTAATCTTGGTTGGCCCTGTGTCTTTTTTGGACCCACAGAATGTGGCACAAGTAACACTTTGTAACCCTGAGGCTAGGCCTTAAGAAATCCCAGTTTCTTCTGCCTTTGCCACTGGGAATGCTCCCTTAGTCAAGCTCCCAGTGCCAACAGCCAGCCATGTGGGTGAGGCCACTTTCTCCGTCTGGCCCTCTCGGCATTCCCACCAACACCACGGGGAGCAGAAGAACCACCTGGTCAACCCACAGAATCGTGAGAAATAAAAAAACTCATGTTTAAGTCACCATATTTTGGGGTGGCGGCTATCACGCAATTATAGATAACTGAAACAGTGTATTTGCTGAGGTGGTAGTATGTGAAGAAGATTATGTCTAGGGCATTTAAAAATCTTAAGTTTCAGACTAACTAAATTCTGGTTACAATCAATGTGTCGCAAATAATACGAAAGAGAAAGGATGTATTTTCCAGAGAACATCCAAGGACCCAGGCTTAACGTGGGGGCCCGGTTATTATGGAACACTGTTGTTCTTTTCAACATTCTCTAGCCTTTTTGAGAAGTTAAAGCTTTTGGGAGGAAGAAGTGTGCCTGTCTTAACAAGTTCTCTTGCAAAAAGGTCTACATTCATTCCCCTTTGATATCAGTAGTTCCAAGGCTTCAGCCTCTGTATAAAGCATACATGGACTCGTCTTTCATACATTCTTCGATTTCATAAATGTCATAATGTAAAAATAAGGGAGAATGAACTTAATTTCATGTAATTTAAATGTATGCTTTATTAATAATTTAATTCTTGAGTTTGCTTTGCAACTTCATTTTTTTTTTTTTAAAGATTTTATCGATTTATTTGACAGACAGAGATCACAAGTAGGCAGAGGCAGGCAGAGAGAGAGAGGAGGAAGCAGGCTTCCCTGCTGAGCAGAGAGCCCGATGTGGGGCTCGATCCCAGGACCCTGGGACCATGACCTGAAACGAAGGCAGAGGCTTTAACCCACTGAGCCACCCAGGCGCCCCCCATTCTTTTTTTTTTTTTTTTTAAAGATATTATTTATTTATTTATTTGACAGATACAGAGAGAGCACAAGTAGAGCAGCAAGCAGAGGGAGAGGGAGAAGCAGGCTTTCTGCTGAGCTGGGAGCCTGATGTGAGGCTTGATCCCAGGACCCTGGGATCATGACCTGAGCCGAAGGTAGCCGCTTAACTGACTGAGCCACCCAGGTGTCCCTGCAACTTCATTTTTTAAATAACTCCCTGTTTGTAAGCATGACAAAATAATGACTAAATGTGAAGCATGGCCAGGAGCTATAAAATGCAATAATCTTTGACCATATTTGTTGTATATATGTGTGTGCACGTATAAAACACTTTGCTTTGACCAACTTCTCTCCCTATATGTGTTTTTCACAAAATGAGATATTCACACTCTAACAGTCTTCTGAATGAATAACTATATTCATACAATTATACTAATATTAAAAATTTAGTGCTATTGTCTTACCTCTGCTGTCTTTCTATCTTGGCTGCCATTTTAGGATTGAGGGTGGCTTCTTCGTAAAGAGGCTGCATTACACTGGCAGGCACTGAGAAAGTAGGCTGTATCTGCTGGATTTGTCTGTTTTTATTAGTACGCTGATATGCAGTGATGAGACGCCTCAAACGAGTAGTTAAAGCTGACTGAGTCGGCCAATAAATTTTATCACCTTCCATCAGCTGACCATCTATATTTAAAGAAACTCATGTCAATAATAATTAAAAAAACCCAGCTGAAAACCAAAAACAACTCCGCCCTCGAAGACTAAATAGATACTGAAATGAAACTCATAAAAACAGCAAAATTCCCTTACTTAAAATCTTTTTCTTTCCACCTGAGTATGTGGGGAAAAACCCACACAAGCCAAACCTCTCAATATAAAAAAGTTTTCTTTTAACTACAGCTCTAAAAATGTTACAACAAACTTGAAGTAGTAAGCTCAAAGTAAGTCAGTCACAGGGCACTAAAGAACCATATAGTATCTACTGAATATCCCTTACACAGGAAACACAACTCCTGCATTTCCAGGTCTGATACATTTCACTGGCTGGCAAATATTCAAATGCCTTACATTTAACGAATTAAAAGTCAAATGAAATCCCTGAGAAGTTGAAAACTATAAACTCTTAATTAAAGCCACCTTCTATATTAAATTTATCTCCAGTTATGTGAGAATCAAAACAATTTTAAAGGTCCTTAGTGAGGAACATTTATTATAAAAAATTCCCTATGACAATGCTATCAGTTTTAAGCTTTTATTCACCTAATAAAGTAGAGGATCTAGCTCTCTATTTCCAGGGTATAATCTTATAATTACATATACCATAATTAAGTGGTAATTGTTCATGCTAAGCAAATACTACTCCTTCCTTCCTAGTCAAACTATGAAAGGATGAGGCCCTATTCCACTTGGGTGTTAGCTGGGAGTGAGTGAGTGTACTCTGGTGACAGCCTGTTTCTAGCTTGATAATCAGAAGGAAGTAGAAGACCCTGTAAAGAAAGGCTATGCAAAAGAGGGGTGTAAGAAAGGTTGGTTCATAATATGATTCCTAATATGGAACTAATAAGCTGTTGAATGGATTACTGAATCAACATGTTAATGATGAAATCTGATACATAAGTTTAATAATCATGCCATAAAATCATCAAAGCTTTGATTCCGTAAAAGCTCAGTGAGTCGTGGCATAAAGATCTGCAACTAAAAATACTGTTAAATTCCCAGTCAACTAGTGTGTCCCTTAAAGATTATGATGGTCTTCAATAAAAAATTTCATACACATCTAAAACATCATAGAAGCGTAATAGTTTATCGATTTCATGGTATCCTGAGAATGCGAGTTTCCACTAAGTAAAAAGAGAGAAATGCAATTTACCTCCATCTGCTATAACAAGATCTCCTGGTGAAGACACATCATCCTTTTAAAAGAAAACAGAAATTTGTCATAGGGTGATTGGGTCACGATACATTAAAGACGCAAAGGGAACCAAGCATCTTAATAGTAACAGAGAACTTTTTGCAACAGAATTTTTAATGATGTATTTAGCAAAAAATAAATAAATAAAACTAATATATTGTTCTTAATCCCCACCCTTTTACACTTCTCTATTGCCTTGTACACTTCAGTCCACTTATTTTCCACTAAAACTTTCCCCTTCCATGATCATGCTTAGGCCAGGTGCTTTTCCTCCATCCTTCCTCTAATCGCAAATACACCCTAGGTTTTATTGATAACAGGTTTTTCATTTTTGTTTTTGTTCTATACCAACTCTGGTAGCTTATTCATTCTTATATTTGATTATCAGACAACCTGCAAATCTTTTCTCTTTCAGCCTTAACAGTTTGCTTGTACTATACATCTTGTTTTTATCTGTCAAGAGAGCATCTCCAATCAGGTATTCCACCATTACTCTAAACACAGTCACTACTTGGAATAGTAGTTTTATTGCAATGACTACTATTTTTTGTTGTTTTAGAAAAGCCTGAAGTTAGAATTCTCATCATTCCTTTGTAAGTGGGTCTTTTTTTTCTGGTTGCTTTTAACATCTGCTCTTTGTTTGGAATTCTGTAATTTCACCAGGATGTTTTTTTGGAGTGGATTTAATTTTGTTAACCCTGTCAAGATTCACTTTATTTCTTGAATCTCAAGATTCGTGTCTTTAAGCCTGAAAACGTCTCAGCCGTTATCTCTCAGAGCAGGTCTTCTCCCTTAATTTCTCTGGTCGCTCCCTCTGGACTACCTATCAGACATGTGCCAGACATTATTATGCCATCCTCTTTGTCTCTAAAGAGTTTTTCATATTGATTTACTGCCTCCCATACCTTTTACTGACTCTAAGAAAATGGATCTGGGCTCTTTAAATATTTTTTGCCAGCCAGTATGATGTTAAGCTTTCTCAGTTGTGGCAGCAAGAGATGCACAGAAGGAAGAAAAGGGTTTTACTTCTCTGGTTTGGGTGAACTCCTCCCTGGTTTAGCTCCCACAGCACAGAAGCCTCCCCAGAGAGCCTCCCCAGCGCCCACCTCTGCAGTTCCAGCAGCTTCTTTACATGCCTGCTGGCCAGCAGCTTTCCCTAGCAGCCTTGGCCTCAGTGGAGTTCCTTCTGTGAGACATTTCCCTAGGAAAAGCTCCCTTAGTAACCCTGGAGGGTGGATTTCCAGCAAGTTGTGCTGGCAGGGCATCCCAGTAACTATTCTGACATCCAACGAGGTATAGCCATGCCCTCTCAAAAAACAAAAAAACAACAAAAAAAAAACCAAAACAGCATCTCAGCCCTGCCAGGGACAGGGCTCTTCCTTGGCTGCTCTGACAGCCCTAAGCACAGTGGCTAGTCCTCACTTCAGTCCCCCTACTAGAGTCAATAATTCTTTACATTGAACTTTCCCTATTCAATGGACTATGTGGTTTCTCTCTCCTGACTGGGCTAACCTGAGCCGTCATGCTACATTATAGATCCTTTCCTCAAATCTGCTTTCTTAATCATTTCTTCTCTCAAGATCTGTGTCTAATCTGCTTCCCCAGCTCAATGTTTAACCTATTTGTTGAGTTTTAATTTTCAATGACTGTATTTTCCACTTCCAATGTTACACAAAATCATTTTTTCATATATCCCTCGACTTTTAAAGTCATATATCTTTCTTTCTTTGTTCTTGGATCTTTAATGTCTTTAACCATTTAAAAATTTACTTATTTTCTATTTTAATAGCTCGCCATCAGAGGTTCTTAGAGGTCTAATCTTGGTTTTTGTTTGCTAAGATTCACTCATGGTAGATTGTTCCTCATATTTAAATTTTTGGATTTTGACCTCATTTCATGGACGGCTTTTACCTTTAGGACTCAAGTATGGTCTACACTGTTTCTTCCACAATTCTTTTTCTTTTCATTTCTACTAGATACCTCAGGGTTATTACTAACCTGGGACCTTTTCTATAATTACATTTTTGGTTCGAGAGTTCCTGGTCCACGCAAATGATGTAAAAGAATCAACTGTAAGCTCAAGAGAAAGCACGCCTATAGCTATGATTTCTCAGGGGAAACAATTTTTTCCCTAGCCAGTCCCTATCTGCAGGTAAGTTCCTCGCTATTGCCCTAGGCTGTTTGTCAGAGAGTACTGCTCTCTAGGGGTTCTCATTGTACGCAGGATCTCCATTCTCACTGCCACACACTGGCCCAAACCCTCTCTAGTCCTCATACAGGGATCGATATTGAAACCCTTTGGCCACCAAGACCACCACACCCTACCTGATAGTTACAGCACCGTCTAGTGCTTTCCTATGCTCTCGTATTATAGAATCCCTCATCCCTTTTCACATCCTTGCCCCATGCCACAGAGTATTTTCACCCAACTCAGCCTCTTCCTTTTGACTTTCTACAAGCAGAACACTCAGAACTATGCGTTAGCAGCTCAGAATTCCTCTAGGCTCTACCCTCTATTTTTAACCCTTTATGTAGGTCTAGTTTCTATCTGTTGCTGGGTACTTTCAGTGTCTACTTCTCCCTTGGCTTCCGGGTTTTGTCCCCGACCCTGTGTACCTAGCTCCTAGTGGTGAAGCAAGTGGGCAGGCTCCATTTCATTCACATGTCCACCCAGCCTCCCGTGTGTCTAGAAGGGAGATCAGGCATACTCTGAAGGACTGTTTGTGATGACTGTCAGCAGATCACTAACCTAGCTAACCTTCTGAAGAGCAGAATTGTGTATAAGGAAAAACATATGAAGGAAAAACACACAAAGGAAACCATGGAGTAACCAGAAATGAGGACTTTAGAGCTGGATCTGAAGCGTACCTCTATATCATCTTTAAAGAGAGCTGGGGCGGGTTTGTATTCTGGATCTTCCACATCCCTGTTAAAATACCAACAGATGCTACAATTATTGGACGGGACTTAAGATTTTCCTGCAAGGACAAATGGAGTCTTGTTGGAAGGACTTTTTAGCATGTTTTCAGACTGAAATTTCTGTTCGTTAACTTGAGGACCCCAAGTCATAGCATGAAGACGTTATATGGCAAGTCAGAAGAAACCTGCTTCTAATGGACTCTTACTAACAAGCTCGCTTTTAAATGTGGTAATATTAACCTCAACCCAGTCCCCTACTTTTCCCTTTTGGTAAGAAAACAAAGATAGTAAAGACCTTACAACACTTATAATGAACAAACATCCCATTTCTCTTCAATTGTAATATTCTTTGTCTTCTTCCCTCTAATGCCCTTAGAACTGTGTGGCTTTAATGGCCATGACTATTAAGAACAGAAAAATGAAGGACTCACCACAAGGATGGGTATGGGGCAGGTGGAGTCTTTTTCTTGATCACACCATTGGATAAACACTAACTTACTAGAGTTTCATTAAGTCTTAGATTATAAATTCCAATTCCCTTACTACTACTTTTTCTTTCTTTTTAGATTTTATTTATTCACTTGACAGAGAAAGACATGGCGAGAGAGGGAACACAAGCAGGGGTAGTGGGAGAGGAAGAAGCAGGACCCCAGGATCATGACCTGAGCCGAAGGCAGACACCTAACGACTGAGTCACCCAGGTGCCCCACTACTACATTATTTAAAGATACACATAAGCAACAGAACATACTGCTGTTGATAGAGATATATGGAGAAATCAAGCCCCCGAAATGCACATACCCATCCATGTAATCATTTGCCCTCTGTTCTGCAGCAACTGCTTTCTCATCAGGTTTTCCCACTCTTTCCAAGAAGCATAATGCTGGGTCTGCTCGGATGGTGTTATATTTTTCATAACCTGGAGGGATCACCAATTTTGAAAGTAAAAATGATAAGAAAAAAGATGGATGAATATAAGCATTCCTCATATTTACAGTGGGTGATGCTCCTGGACAAAAGGGACCGTATATTAAAACAGTACAGGGTAAGGCAGGTATTCTAGAAATTATCACCAAAATATTATGTGGTCTGGCATAGGTATATTTAAAAGTTTAGACTGAATTTATAGTTAAAATGAAAAAGAGGAAAACTGATCATACACAATACACTCACATAAGAACTCTTCCTGAGGGGAAGTTAGTGAGACTTCTGTCTAGGAGGGGCAGGTCATGTAGGCCACCCCCTTCTGTGAAGAAGTGTGGGGACTGACAGACAAAATTTGGTTGTTTGTGCTTTACATGGTATGTATAATAACATCAGTGTTACTGGAATGATGCTATAGGTGGAAATCGTGAAACTCAGAGAATTACATTATACACAGAAGACAACTCTACCTACCTTCCTTCTACTTACCATGTTTAAAGACTCCAATAAGAAGTGACTTATCAGCATCAAAATCCCACCATTCAGCAGGAACTTCTGAGTGGTCTGGTTCTGGGACCCAAACATCAATGTCACTTAAAAAAAAAAAATCACAATACGTGGCACTATGAATTATTACAAACAAGTCAAAGAGGCGGCAAACTTTACCTGGCCTGTAAAAAGCATTATGGCTTTTAAGAAAAAGACATTATGATTTTATTTCATTGATTTTTTTTCGTTATTTTCCACCATTACCACCAGTTAAAATTACAAAATTGTACAAGATCAACACAGTTACTAAAAAAATGAATTAATATCCTTAACCTCAACAGAAAACATTTTTCAACAGGTTTACTTTAACTCTTAAGGAATCACACTCTTTCCACTGATTTCCTTTATACATAAAGGAAGTATTTTATGGGAGAGTACAGTCTTATGTCAGCAAACAGCTTGACAAAAATCAGCTGGTTCAAGTACTTCATTTTGTATATGAAGAGACTGGGGCCCTAGATGAACAAATTAATTGCTTTAGGCTGCAAAACAAGTCCTATGTTTTCTAGACGGCTACTAGTAAGAAAATTCCACTGACAAATTAAGCATTGCTTACCAGCGGAGGAAAATGGCAAGTTTTGGATTCATAATTTGACTAAAACACTCAAAGTGCTATTTTTATGCTATATATATATATCATGCCTAAAAATGACAATATGATAAAGTACTAGAACTATAATAAATCCATAATACTTCGGTAATTTGGCTGTTTTCATGAGCATTAAACAACCACTAAAGTGCACTTACAATTCTGCAAACATAACTTCCTTTGCTTATCATTTGAAATTATTATTTTCCCAGGAACCTTTTATAATAACACATACAACACCACTAAAAATGAAAATATGCCGTGCAGAGGACTGAAATGTTTACTTTTGTACATAGTGATTCACGTTATTGTCTCCCTTAGCCTACCTAGCATATATAGCTAACATCTGACAATAATTAATTAGCAAATGGGTATCATTTTTACACACACACACACACACACACACACACACACACACACACACCATTCTTATATTTTATTCAACAAAGAAGGCAGAGGGGCACCTAGGTGGGTCAGTCAGTTAAGCATCTGACTCTTGATTTTGGCTCCGGTTATGATCTCAGGGTCGGGGGATCAAGTCCCACGTGGGGCTCTGTGCTCAATGCGGAGTCCACTTTTTCTCCTTTTCCCTCTGCCCCCTGCCCCCTCAAATAAATAAATACATCTTTTTTTTTTTTTTAAAGATTTTATTTATTTTATTTGACAGACAGAGATTACAAGTAGGCAGAGAGGCAGGCAGAGAGAGAGAGGAGGAAGCAGGCTCCCTGCTGAGCAGAGAGCCCGATGCGGGGCTCGATCCCAGGACCCTGGGATCATGACCCGAGCCGAAAGCAGAGGCTTTAACCCCCTGAGCCACCCAGGCACCCCAATAAATACATCTTCTTAAAATTTTTTTTATCTATTTGAGAGAGATAGAAAGAACAAGCAAGGGGAGGGGCAGAAGGAGAGAGATAAAGGAGGGGCTGTTTCCCAGGACTCTGAGATCATGACCCGAGCAGATGGCAGATGCTTAACTGAGCCACCTAGTCGCCCCAGTAACTAAATCTTAAAAAAAAAAAAAAAAAGCAGCCAGGTAGAGATTGGATGGGATAAATTATCTTGGGAAATCAAATTTTCTTTTTTCTTTTTTTTGGGAAATCAAATTTTCTAGTTGGGAATTTCGCTATTTGATATATGTGAATTATCAATTTTCAAAGAATGAAGATAGAACATAAAAAAATTAAGTAGAATTTCATCTCCTAGTCTTAGCACCAAAATTTCATGTTAATAAACAGGCCTATTGTTCTGAAAAAATGGGAAGTTTCCTACTTACAATTAAGTTGTGTAGCAAAAATTCATTTGTAAGTTCACAAATTATCTTTGGGAACTCAAAATAAATTTTCATATAGAAATAAATTGATAAATGGTCAATATGTTCCTGAGCAAGCCCACAAGAACCCAATATTTAGCTACTAATACAGCATAAATAAAAGAGAGTGGCAATGAAAACAGAAGACTTACAAGTCCTGTAAGTAAATAAAACACGAAGTATAGATAGGAAATTACTTTTTATTTTTCATAAGTGTTTGCCAGCAGAAAAAAGTTTTTAGTTCAAGGAATACGGAGAAAAGGATGGAGACATTTCTCTAGATTCTTAAAGAAAATTTCTGCCCTTAAATGAACATCTACCTTTAATTTTTCTTAAAAAACAAAAGGGTTACCATCACAGTATTTTCAAGCTTACTGTAGGAAAATAGAGAAAGAGTGATTTTCCTGGGATACAACAAAAGCTTAAAAAGTGATGATGAAAAATACAGTTAAAGAAGGTATGTATTTTTGATTGATTTCCTGACCAGGACTAAAGAAAGCGTAAAAACCCAAAGATGAAGGCCAGAGGAAACAAAGTGAGTTACCCTCCCCGACCATCAGGTGGCACTCTAAGCTCAACACACTGTGAGGATCGTCAGCGGTGGAAAGATTTCCAGCTCATAAAGAGCATACACCCACCCAGCGTTCCAGTGTAAGTGCCAAGTGCATGGCAAGTGTTGCTTAACTGCTAGGGAAAGGAACACGAGGTTCATGTGCTCCTGTGGTTGATTTCTGTTTTTAAAGATTCAGTTCATGTTCTGTCTCTTGCAAAAAGCTGCCTTTAACTTCCCAGACTTGATCATTCATGCAAAATGTATTTGAACAGCACTCATTATGTGCCAATAATAGAAATAATTGGGCAGACACTCCCTGCTCCTGTGAAGAGGTACCCACAATACTGCATGGTGAGTGCTATGACAGCCGACCTTGGATATGTGCCTGACCCGGCCTTAAGAGGCCAGGAAAGGCTGAGGTGACGCCAGATAAGCATTGGGTGGGGGGGTATGGAGGCAAGGGGGAAAGGAAATATTCCAGCAAGACTGCAAATGCCTGGAGTGTAGTACAGAAATAAACTGACACCGCAGAAAAGATGACAGCATCCAAAAAAAGGAGGTGACAAGAAGAGGGCACCTATGAGAAGACATTTAAGAGACAGGTTGAAGAGGAACTGCAAAGCAGCAAGCAGAAAGCTAGAAAGAACCTCTCTCTACAGGTGAATGCTATTACAGAAGCATTTTTAAGAAGAGGGAAATGGTCAATAAAGGTAAAGTAGGACAGGGGCACCTGGGTGGCTCAGTAGGTTGTGCGTCTGACTGTTGGTTTTGGCTTGGGTTGTGGGATCGAGCCCCATGTCGGGCTCCATGCTCAGCGGGGAGTGTGCTTGAGAATTCTCTCTCTGCCCTTCACCACCACTCTCAAATAAATAAATAAATCTTAAATAAAAAGAAAAGGGAGAGTAAGAAGAACACTATAATATATCCATGGGTTCAGCAGTAAGAATATTGGTGGCTCAGACGTTAAGCCTCTGCCCTCGGTTCAGGTCATGGTCTCAGGGTCCTGGGATTGAGCCCCGCATCAGGTGCTCTGCTCAGCAGGGAGCCTGCTTCCCCCTTCTCTCTGCCTACTTGTGATCTCTCTTTCTCTGTCAAATAAATAAATAAAATCTTTAAAAAAAAAACAACGAATATTGGTGAGGAACTTCTTGGAGTAGGTGGTGGAGTGAGGGGCAGAGGCTGAACTGTGGTAGGGAGCGCATTGTAAATGGGAGAGGAGAAAAAGCAGACACAGATACAGAAGTCTGGCTGTGAAATCAGGGAGAGTAATTGCGTGGCAGTGTGAGGAGATACTGGATCCAAAAGTAGGGTGTGTGTGTGTGTGTGTCTATGCTGAGGGAGATGTCAACATGTGAAAATCCAAACGAGAAGCCAGAGTGGGGGAGATTAACAAAAGGGGAAAATGTAGGGATAATTCACAGAATGTAGTTTTTAGGAAATCACAAGTGGATAGGATCCCGTCGGGCCAAGGGAAAAAAGGAGTCATTTAGTCAACAAATATTTACTGGGTGTTATATGTCCCAGATTCTAGGGGCTGTGAAAACAAAGATCAGTAAGATAAAAGATAGCATATTTAACCTTTAAGAGGCTTCAACTAAAATGGGAGGAGAAAAGACACACAAATAAATATAACTTTAACAGGCACCATGAATGAGATAAAATAAGGTCAAGCAGTAGTGAGTAACTAGGGGAGGGAGGCCAGGGAGGGCCTCTGGGAGGGGGTAAAACGTGAACTGAGGCCTGAACAGAGACAGGTCTGTAGAAGACGAGTGTGAGAGCATACCAGGAGGCAGAGCCCAGAATGAGCTTGACACACAGGAGAGACAGAAACACCAGTGCGGCTGCAGCATCTTGGGAGAGGGACAGAATGAAGGAGGAGGTCACAGGTTATGTGACCTCCTATATGCCACAGGGAGCACGGATTTTATTCTAAGAGAAATGAGAAGAATCTGGAAGGAGAGGAGTGCCATGGCCTGATTTTCGATTCAGAAAGATCACTCTGGCTGCTGTGTGAAGGTCAGCCCGTAAAGAGGAGGCAGAGAGACCCAATTAGGAGGCCGCTGCAAAAGTCTAAACGTGGCATAGTGGGGGCTGGCACTAGAGGTTTAGCAGAGGATGTGGTGAAAAGTGCTCAGATTTGGGCGTACACTGTACTTTGCGGAGCTCACAGGTCCTCTTGAGGGATTTAAGGGGAGGGGAGGAATCAAGAATGGCATCCAAGCATCTGGGTGGTCCATTTAGCAGGATGAAGAAGGCCTGTGTGTGGGAAGGTGGGAGGAAAGGGGCTGGGGGCGGATCTGGCGAGCCAGGGAAACTCCGAGACGGCAGTCAGACTATCAAGTGGGAATATTAGGAGGCAGCTCTCAGATTAGAGCTCTAGGATGAACATGTAAGTTTGAGAGTCATCTGTTTCTTGATCAGATTTGGTCTGATGAGACTGTAGGAGTTCACTGAAGGAGAGTATAGCCGAGAAGGAGAGCTGAGGGCAGAGCTCCTGGACAATCCAATGTGAGAACCAGGAGAACGAAGAGGAAAGACCAGTGAAGAAAAAGGACACCTCGTGGGTAAAGTTGCATGGATGCCTACAGAAGACAGCGTTTCAAAAAAGAAAAAAGTTTAAAAAAAAAAAAAAAAAAGAACACAGCATTGCAAGAAGGGAGACATAGAGTAAGGAGCTGAGAGACCAGGGCGTCAGACGGATCGTATGTGGACATAAGTCAGTTGCCATAAAACCTCTCCTACTGGATTAAGAGGGCAGAGAAAGAATGAGCACAGAAAGGTCAAGTAACAGATTTGGCGGTAGGAAGCTTACTCCTACTGCTGCTGCTGCTGTTTTTGTTGTTGTTATTGTTGTTATTATTATTATAGCTTTTAGTGACAGAGCCTAAGATTGAGACTAATGGAGGAAAGGCTGTAAATTGGCAAAGGTGAATTCTCTACATTTGGTGGAATTTTCTTCTTGTGAACTTCACTGAATAAGGAGCCACTTAATGTACAATTTTCTCGTCCTATAATTTTTGCCTCATCATGTTACTGAAAATACCAGCCGGTTATTTAATTTACCTTGCATCAACTCCATCAAATACTTTCTGACACTCGTTTCCAATAACTTCTTGCTTTAGGTAATAGAGCATTCTTACACGAAGCAAAACCCTAAAAGTGAGGGAAAAGAAATCAAAAGACACAAAGAGATTAATCATTAAAGAAAATTCATCCATGAGGTTAAAATTGGAAAAGAATTTTTATACAGAATTTTTATAATTAAATAATAATTATTTCTGATTAAATAAATCTCATTACTACCATATATAGTAAAATAGGTTTCTCCAAAATCTTCACAATCATCATAATTTAATATCCAAGTAAGATATAATGAGATCATTTGGAGGCCAGTTTTATTTCTCTCTCTGTTGATGAAAACAGTGACACAAGAGGTACCATGATTTGCTGAAGGATACCCTGTAAGATTAAGATTAGGATTGGTCCTAGACCACACTGTCTCTGTACTCAAAATCAGCATGCTTTAAGATTTTTAATAAAATTCAGAAATATAAACTTTTAATGAGTTGTGTTAAAAACACCCTACTACCTACTTATTACAGTGGTGTTTTATATGTTTTTTGTATCCTTCGTCTTGAAGTAGCTGCTCAGGATTGTATTTTCGAAGCCATTCTGCTTTCTGTATATCAAATGAGCTTGTTTGAGTCTTTACTTTCTTCCCTTTTCGACCCCTGGGTACAGGGGCTGATAGGCCTGTTAAAATGAGAAGGACACATGAAATCAGGGATAACTTGTATAAAAGTTTGTAATTTGAAACATTTTTTTCAATACAAGAAATTTCTGGAGACTTTCCAGAGGTCTTTGCGGACTCTACAGAGATCTTTAACATATTAATGGTAACAATGCTGACCCAATCGCAAGGTTAAGTCAATGTGATGACAGTATACACATATTAACAGTTTCCCCCTGCAAGAACCCAACAATTCTGTATCTGAAATTAATCATTCTGACTTTTTGTTCCAAAACACATCATTTTTTTTCCAGATGTAAAAACCAAAAAGCTCAGCTTGTCCCTCTGCTTTACTTTTAGCTTCCCTAGTTATAAAATAGTAAGTTTTGGCCTCCTGATTTTCAAAACTGGATTAGGTTTAATCATTGTGGGTTCTTGTTTAAGCAAGCTAATTCATTTTGTTTCTTTGAACCCTTTGTGAAATATTTCTTTGTGTGTGTGTGTGTGTGTGTGTGTGTGTTAAGATTTTAAGCAATCTCTATACCCAATGTGGGGCTTGAAGTCACATGCTCTACTGACTGAGCCAGCTGGGTGCCTTCTAACATTCCCTTTTGTGAAGATTTATTTATTTGAGAGAGAGAGAGAGAGAGAGAGAGAGAGAACAGGCACAAGTGGGGAGAAAAAGCACAGGGAGCAAACCCTCAAGCAGACTTCCTGCTGAGCACGAACCCCCAAGGTGGGTCATGAGATCATGACCTGAGCCGACACCAAGAGTCAGACAGTTAACCAACTCAGTCACCTAGGTGCCCCTGAAATATTTCAGAAATACAAAGAAGTATTCTTACTCTTAATCGTAACATATTCCATATCTGGTCGGTTTTTCATTAAAGGAAATAAGTACACACAGGTGAAGCCCAACTCACTCTTTCCTTCCCAACTCACTATCCTGAGTTTGTCTAGTCATTCCATGCCCGTACATGTGAGTTGGAGGAATATTTAGTATTTAAGTTTTCAGACATTATAGAACACAAGCAATTCGGCAACTTGTTGATTATGTTGGTATCTTTTTGAGATTTTTACTTGCTGATTCATGAGGCTATAATTTATCTATTTTCCTGCCATGTAAAAATGTACCGTATGGCTGTCACTGCATGTGTACCACTGCTTACCTATGAATTTTCAATGACACTAGAGCTATTTCACTTATAATTTTTTTAAAAGATTTTATTTATTTATTTGACAGAGATCACAAGTAGGCAGAGAGGCAGGCAGAGACAGAGAAGAGGAAGCAGGCTCCCCGCTGAGCAGAGAGCCCGATGCGAGGCTCGATCCCAGGACCCTGGGACCATGACCTGAGCTGAAGGCAGAGGCTTTAACCCACTGAGCCACCCAGGTGCCCCTTCACTTATAATTTTTAACAATTACTAAAAAATAGACTTTTGATTCCTTTCAGTTCGTATCTCCTATATCTTTTCCTTGCTATACTCTACCAGCTAGGAGTTTCATGACAACGGTAAATAGAAGCTTGATGTGGACTGTCCATTTCTTCCTAAAATTTTGGCAATTTTGCATTTATATTTTTAGACTATTTTCTTTAGTGTATGAAGTTTATACTTGTTATTTCTTCTTCTTTTTTGGGGGGCAGCCAGGTACCCCCTGTTATATGTTCTTTTATGGATCTCTTTTTTAACCTAATTAATGCCTTTTACCTTAAATTGTACTTCATTCTCTGTTACTATGAATACTGTTCTATAGTCCAGTCCTCTTCTGCTGACCTGAGATTTAGTACTCTCTTGTTGGCTGAGTTAGTAGCCACTCATCTATTTTCTTCCAAAATTGTGTTGCTATCTCCTCTCCCCATCTCGGTCTTCTTTTGAGGGTTTATGCCTATTTATTTTTTAATCATGGAATTAAGCATTTTCAAATACAGACAGAATAATATGACAGATCACTATGTCCCATCATCCAACTTTAATAATTACCAGCTCATGGCAATTTTGTTTCCTCCATACCCTGTTCACTCCCCAACCTTCCACATTATTTTGAAGTAAATCTAAGACATCACTCATTTTGATAATAAACATCTGAGTATCTCTTAGCGATAGTACATGGCCTCCTTTTAAAAAAAATACCATGACTGGCCCTAAGAAATGCAATTATACTTCCCTAATACTTGATATTCACATTTACCATTATCTAAGAAATAATAACAATAATTAAAAAACAACTCTGGGTTGTTTGTCTTGTCACGATCCAGATCAGGCCCCCACACTGCAACTGGCTGAGGACTCTCAAGTATTTTAGGTTATAGCAGGGTTGTTAGTCTCAGGACTATCGGTATTTTGAGCTGCATCGTTCTTCATCATTGGAGGTGTCTGTGCCCTCTTGGCCTCTACCTACTAGATGCCAGTAACATGCTCAAAGCAGTGACAACGCTGAATGGTGGCAGGACTGGGTACAAAATCATGTCTGGTTGAGAACCACTGGTTTATAGATAGCCTCTCTATCCAACCCTTTTGTTTGCTGAAGAAACTAGGACTTTTGCCTGTCGAATAGATCAAGCGTAATGCCTTTTTTTCCTCTTTATTGACATGTAAGTGGAGTTTCAAGAAAGAGTGATATACTTGTGTCAATCTTCCGTCTGTATCAGAAGTCCACCCTTCACATTACTAATTTCACTGCCCCCTATTAAGACAGCCTCCAGGGACCACCCTAATTCAAAACAGGTGCTTTCTGTTCTTCTCCATCTCAGCACTTACTTATTTCACAGTGCTTAGCACATTCTGAAATTATTTATCTACTTTCTTATTATGTCTGTCTACCTGGCTGGAATGGAAAGTTCCTGAGCTCAGGGATCTTGTTTCTTCTCTCCTCAATACCTTGCATAAGAAGCATATAGTAGGCACTGTTGAAGGTATGTGTTGATTAAATAGAACAAAACTGTAACACAAATTTCAGGGCATAGTAATCTTTTTTTATCTTTACAGAAAATTCAATTACTTTATGCTCTGAAAGAATTACTTCATGCAGAAAAGAACATTCTATTAGAAACGACGTAGAGAAAAAGTACTTATATATATCTCTGGCAGAACTGTAAATTGGTACAGCCATATCTGGTGGCAAATTAAAGTATGGATGAAAACTTAAAGTGTATATCAATGTTTCCCAACTTTAATATACATACTAATTGCGAAGGAACTTGTTAAAATTTAAGTTCTGATTCAGTAAGTGTGCTGCCTAAGATTCTGTATTTCGAAGAAGCTCCCAGGAGATGCTGATACTATCAATCCACAGACTACATTTTAGGTGTTAGGGATGTATAAATGCTGTACCTCAACAATTCCATTTCTTGGTAGGTATCTCAGTGGAAGATTTGTTTGCCATGCAGAAGGAAAACTGCAGGATCTTCACTGAAACTTGTTTTTCAATTGTCCAACAACTGGGGATGTCCTAAGTGCCCGTTATTAAAGCAGATGCTAAATAATTAGCTACAGGATGTCGGCACTACGAACTACTAAAAAGGAGTTTTAAAGATGAGATAGATCTACGTGATGACAGACGGGAAGACCGTGTGACGAGGAGCCGCAGGTAAAGCTGCGTGGAAAACCCAACCAAACTGAGAAGTTGGCATTTTCTAAGTTGGAACTTGCATGGAGAGGGAAGTGTAAGGGTTCTGTAATGTTATCTATAGTGCTTCCATATTTTACAGGGTACTGTGGTAAGTGCTACCTATATAACCAAGAATAAATTTGAAAAGAAGCAAGAATCTTCTTACCTAGATGATTCTGTAGCTCTCGTGTCTGCCCATCTTCCGTTGGAGTAATGAGATCCCATATGAAGCCTTTAATTTTCTCATCTCCTCTGTAGTGAACAAGGCAATACGCTAAGAGGGCTCGGCAAATTATTTCTACATCGTGCTCGTTCAGCTGTCTTTTAAAACGGCCGTGAGACAGAATCTCTCTCCATCGGCCCCACCTGGTTAAAAAGGTATATTTACATTAATATTAAGTCAAGTTCTACAGAAAAACAGAACTCCTGGACAAAAGGCTTGAAAACTGCCCACATGTTGGGCATGAAAACCCCACATATAGTCATTAATGGGATTTACCTAATAAAGTCTTCCTCCCACCCCTGTGAGTAAAATGTGGAGTCATGGGAGAGTGATTTCAAGTGTATCCTATTCAATAATGGATAACAAGATTATCCATTTAATATTACTAAATATGCAAATCTCAGAAGAAGGAATTTGACTTCAGTGATACATTTCTAATTTACAATTTAAGGATATTCCATCATTCTGCTAATAAATACTTGTTAAACATAACAAATTTAGGGTACTTTAAACAGATTTTATTGATCCTAACAAGATAAAAAAACATGAATATAGTATATGTTTTCTGTAACTTCATATAGCATACTACTAACAAGAAACATTAAAAATCGTATTTTACCCATAAACTAGAAGATTTTTCTCTACTCGAAAGCATTCAGTTCTTCCATAGCCGTTGGAACGGTCACAGGGTCTCCGGAGTTTGGGCTTTTCATCTCCTTCACTTTCGGCTTCAGATAACTCAGCCAACTCCTCTTTCGTGGCACTAAAGGGTCTTGTTTGCTTCCTAATTCTTGGCGTGTCAATAACCAAGCTGTTCTGTAAAATTTAATAGCTATTACTTGACGGTCATTTTACTATTTTGCTTACAATGGTGTTTTTACATTTTCACCTTTCAAATGGTACAGAGAATAATTATAAAAAGCGAGAAAACAGAAATTACTAACAATTTCATCAACCTATCAAATCAACTTAAAATTTTTTATATTCCTTTAAAATCCTTATTATCATACGCATAAAATATTGTGATTTACAGTCATAGGATGAAAAGAATTTGATATCTGGCTTTATTATTAAGATGAGTTATTGTGTTATGCTTCTATAATAATTATAAAATATATTATTAAACTACATTTATGCACCTTAATTTTCTTTATTTAATTTGCGGTTTAGATTTGTTTTCAATTTTTAAAATAAATAATGCTCAAATAAATCTTTGTAACCTAAGTTTATCCCAGAGATAAATCCCAGAAAGGGTAAATATCCAGGACTGAAATACTGGTCAAAGGATATAAATATTTTATAGATCCAGAAACATGTTTTAGTCTTTTCCAAAAGTTAAATTAATATACAAAAAGCAAGGTAATAAGTATATAAACCTCATCATGTTCATTCCATTTAATTCATTCAAAACAACTTTTAAGTTGATATGCTTTTTACCTTTAATGAAAAGTTTCTAAGTTAGAAAGATATACTTTGAGAATATATAAAAGGTCTGTTTCTCTTTCAGTCTCATCCATTAATTTTAGAATTCATCAATGGCTCGTCCGCTACCGTTATGGCTGTGGTAGGCCAACGGTAGGATTGTTTTCTTATTCCTTCTGTATCTGTTAATCGGCCTTCTCCAGTAGGAAAGAGTTGTCCCTTTGCCCTGCCCCAGCTTCTTTAAAAATTAAAAAAAAACAAAAAACAAAAAACCCTAACTGTATTTTTTGAGTAAATTTTCAAACATCTTTTGCCTACAATCATTTGAGATTTTTTTGATGTGTTTCCTTTTTAAAGACTTATTTATTTGAGAGAAAGCGGGCAAATGCAAAGAGGGACAGAGGGGGAGAAAGAATCTCAAGCAGACTCCCTGCTGAGTGCAGAGCCCAATGCTGGACTTGGATCCCAGGGCCCCAAGATCATGACTTGAGCTAAAATCAAGAGCTAAACACTCAACCGAGCCACCCAGGTGCCCTTGATTTTGATATGATTCTGATCACCTTATACTGGCTTTCATATAATAAAGATACTAACTTTCATGTACACTTCTGCTATAAATAAGTCTCACTAGTCTGACTGCCTTTCTATTGTCCATTATATACTTCTTAGTCTTATATATGAGTATGCCAATCATTTCCTTTGTGATTTTTTTTTTTTAAAGATTTTATTTATTTATTTGACAGAGAGAGACACACAGCAAGAGAGGTAACACAAGCAAGGAAAGTGAGAGAGGGAGAAGCAGGCTTCCCGCCGAGCAGGGAGCCCAATGCAGGGCTTGATCCCAGGACCGTGGGATCATGACCTGAGCTGAAGGAAGAAGGTTAACAACTGAGCCACCCAGACGCCCCTGTGATATCTTTTTAATTTAGAATGTTTTCTCACCAAGTATTTGATAAAACAGAAATCTAGTTTTTCTATTTTTTTTACGCTTTCTAAAATTTTTATTTTATTTGTTGTTGTTAAGATTTTATTTATTTAATAGAGAGAGACAGAGAGCCAGCCAGCACACAAGCAGGGGGAGCAACAGAGGGAGAAGAGGAAGCAGGCTCTCTGCTGAGCAGGGAGCCTGATGCAGGGCTTGATCCCAAGACTCTGGGATCATGATCTGAAACGAAGGCAGATGCTTAACTGACTGAGCCACCCAGGGGCCCTACTTTCAAAAAATTTTTTTAAAAATTCATCACAAACTGGAGTTTACTTGGCATGGAGTATATCACTATAATGTCCCCCCAGTGCTAAGTCAAAGTCCTAATCATGATTATTAAATAATACCTTTTTCTCTAATACTATTTCTTTACTAAAACATATAATTTGATCTTTTTCTGTTCTTTGTTCTTTGTACTTTTTCTCAATATCATGCTGTTTTAATTATGTTTCCTTTATAATATTTCAATATGGTTTAACATGTAGTAAAAACACGTCTGTCTTCTCTGCACTTCATTTTCAGAAAAGCTTTAAATTTTTTGGTGAAATATAAATAAGAAAATGTAATTATGCAAGTATTAAGCGAATACATGCATACATAAGTTTATTTATAAAGTGCTTAACTCTTCAGGGTAATCTTCAAGGCCCTATGCTATGACCCATACCTACGATCTCTGACCTTGCCTACCACCTCCTCACTAACTGCCTACATTCTGCCACAATGTCACTTCTATTTCTAGAATACACGGAGCTTATTTCCACCAGCGGCTCAATGCCATCCCCTGCACTTTAAAAGACTTTCCTCGAGTCTTTACACTGTTGGCTCCTTCTGGTCATTCAATCTTAGCATAACTGTCCCCTCAGTGACCTCCCCTGACCACCTGATTTCATGCTGTCACACCTCCCAGCATTCCCAACCATCTAACTATTCTATTTTCGTCACTCTCTGATATCATCTTATGTATGTGTCTACTTCTGTCTCACCCACCAGAATCCATAAGCACTATCAAAGCAGTGGTTGATCTGTCTTGTGCACATGAGCCCTACTGTGAGACTGGTCCTTGACTCACAGTATGCTCTAGCTGGACTACTGCATAAATACATAGGAATGTTTTTCTATTGTGGGTTCCCAATATATCCTTTTGAAAAATCATAAATAAACATGCTATAAGCATCATTCCATATCTCCCTCTCTTTTAAAATTTAATTGTTTTGGAGGTCTTTATGGGCCAGTAGTACATAGGGATATACATGATTATTTTTACTTATTGCATTAAATAGTAAAGGATGTATTAATCCTCTATCATAAGAAATTCAATTAGTTTACACATTTTTTCTAGAACAAAGAATGTGGCAATGAGCATCACTGTACTGTATCATCACTGTACATGTACGATTATTGCTGAAAGACAGGTTCCTAAAAGTCCATTTAATATTTTTGACAATTCATTTTTCCAGGGGAAGTTTAGATATCGTTTGGTTACATGAAACAATTGTTAGCTTTTGACTTGGGTTGCATTTCTATGCTTATAAATTCTAAAAATGTTTAAAATATATAGTTTTCAATTTCCAACAGAGAAATCTTGCAATTAAATTTGATAATTCACTTTACTAAAATCATACACATCTGTCCGTAGGTATACCCCTAAATGCTTTGTAACTTTTTTTTCTACAGTGAATAGATGTTTTCTTCCATTGTATTTTTCTACTTCTATTAGTACTGATATTTAAGAAGGTTAAATGTCATATTTATTTTTCATCCAGTTAATTCATTAAACTCATTTATTAATTTTGATAATGGCTTTAAGATTTCCCTGCTTTGTTAGACATATAAACATGTCATACCCAATGATGTTTTATAAATACCTTTTCAAATTTACTTATTTGTTTCATATAGAATTATTTCTATTTCTGAAATATATGAAATAATAATGATGATGTATGGTAGTGGTGTTATTTCTCACTGTAAAGTTTTACATTTTAAAAGGCTGTTAAAATAGATCCCATGCATCAATGCTTAATATACAATTCATTTTTATATTCTTTTTTATATTATCTTGATAATGGGTAAGCTGCACAAACACTGATTCCTACACAATAATTAGATGTCTTATGAAGGAAATAGTTATGTTATTATCAGTTCTACAAACTGTTCTTTAGCTTTTTGATCCTTTCTTAATTCTAAGGGAAGTTACAAAAGAAACAGTTTAAAAATGCTACTTTCTTGAGTGCATTTTTTTCTCCTTTTATATCTGACTGGGTCATCATTAATGGGAGCAGACTCCAAGAAAACAAAGTTAAAGAGCAAAATCAAAGTAACTGATGATTTAAAGACATTTTAAAAATAGAAAAACATTGTACTTTTAAGAATATAAACATCCAAACTTAAACTTTCCCTGCATTACCACCTATCACGGCAGATATCAGAGGTATTAAACTGAAGCAGTATATGGCTCAACAGGTGCTCATTTTAATACCCCACATCAATTTATTTATTCAGATAAATTTATTTCAGTAAGTACACGGTTGAATACCTTAAAATATTACAATAATATTACCGAAGTATCCCAACAGGTATTTTTTTTTAAAGGGAAAGAAATACTTACTCTGCCACTGATGGCATCTATATCTATTTCTGCCTTTTTAGCCCATTTTTGCCAGAAGTTGGGATCATCTAAGGAAATATCTGTCCGATTCCCAGATGCCACAAAGCTTGCCTGAAACACATAATGGCAGTTTCTTAAAATGTTATGACGCTTAGAGGAAAATCTACCACAGTATATTCACAACATCATCTCTTCACATTTACTGGGGATAGAATATGAGTTCATCGTACACACATATATTCCAAAGATGTTCCAAATGGGATGGCCTGAAACGTAGCACAGCAAATGCTCAAGGCAAAAGCCTCACTGCCAACACAGGCTGTGGATTTAGGAAAAGATTAAGTAAGTTATTACTCTTGTTTAGCTCAAGCTTTTGGTTAGTAAGGATCAAATCCTTTTGGTGAAGAAACTACACAGGACAGAGATATGCTTTCTAGAAACACTATATGAGTATTAAGAAATTAGGTTAGCACAAGGAATTTCAAACCTGCTTGCCCCATACAGTTCATTTTCTGGTATACTACTTTATTTCTATCATATTTTTAGATAGATATGCCTCCTAAAGAAAATGTAATATAGGATATGAGGAAAAAAGTCACCATCTGTCTTTACATTAAAAATACTTTTCCTTACAACAAAAATACTGCATAGTCATTGTAAAAATTCAAAAGATTACAGAGGAACAAAAAAAAATAACTGATTTACTTTCTTAAATATTGTAGAAATTATACAGTCTTTTAGTTGGAAGAAACTAGATATTACAGCTCAACACTGGAACTTATAAACTAATAACCATTATTTGCAACTTAAGTTCCTGAAAACAGATATGCCACTTCAAAGAAAGTCATTAAAGTGCTTTAAAAAGAAGTAGTGAAGATACATGGTGCTTTAAAAAAGAAAGAGCCTGGAAAACGCATGGTAACACTTACAAGAATTAAAGGGAAGAATACAGTCACATAATTTTCAAAGGAGAATATAATTCGTAAATGGCTTTAAGATAATGACTAATTTATCTGGGATATAATCAAATTATAAAAATCTTCATTAAAAAACCCATTTTGATGGAATTTTAAAATGCAGAAAATTACACATTAAAGAGATAATAAAACAGCTATAAACAAGCAAGCTATTTATGACATTTAAAAGAAGTCTGGAACTCTGAAAATTTGAACACTGGAAAACCAATGATATGAAGGAATTACTGATCGAGATTATGACCTGAGCTGAAATCAAGAGTGGGATGCTCAACTGACCACACCACTCAGGGGCCCTGATGATTTTATTTTTATTATTTCATTTAACTTAAAAGATTTTATTTATTTATTTGTTGGAGAGAGAGACAGAGAGAACAGGAGGCTGAGGGAGAAGAAGGCTCCCTGCTGAGCAGGGAGCCTGATGCAGGATTCGATCCCAGGACCCTGGTGGGATCATGACCTGAGTTGAAGACAGATGTTTAACTGACTGAGCCATGCAGGTGCCCCTATTTTTAAATATAATAATAAGTATTGTGGCTGTGTTAAAGAAATTTTCATAGATCTTATATATATGTTCGTATATATAATGTTTGGGATTTCCTTTAAAATAATATGAAAGAGGGAGAGAGTAATTATGAAGCAAGCTTGGCATGAGCTGATAATTGCTGATAAATGAAGCTAGGTGACAAGGGCATAGGTTTCATTATACCACTGTCTGTATTTGTAGTTTGAATTTTTATATTGCATCTAATGAGTAGAAACAAAATTAAAATCCCAAGGCTTCTTGCTGAACTTTAAGATTCTGTTCATGACACTGCTTACCAAGTAATAAGTACATTCCTTCCATCAAACATGCTTTTGAGGCTGGGTTATTAAGATGCTTGTGTAGAGCAAGTGGTGAAATATTATAAATGTTAAACATGTGCATTTTGCTGGCATTTTTATGAAACATAAGTGATGGAAAAGTGTTTTAACGAAATGAATTTAAAATTTTTTTTTTGCTTGTTCTAAACTATAGCTTTAATATTGGGAAACTACTAAAACTAGGAATTTTTTAAAAATAGTAATTTTTAATTTGTTGACATGATGAGTGTGATAGGGTAATAGCTCCCAAAGATATTTAGGTCCTAACTCCTGGATCTTTATGAATGTTTATGGCAAAAGAGACTTGGCAGATGTGATAAAGTTAACAATTTTTGAAATGGGGAGATTAGCCTGTATTATATAGGTGAGCCCTAAATATAATCACAACTGTCCTTATAAGAGGGAAAGAGGAAAAGACTATGTGACAACAAAAGCAGAGATCGGAATAATATGGTCACAAGCCACAAAATGCAGGCACTTGTAAAAGCTGGAAGAGATACCAAACAGATTCCCCCCTAGAGCATCAGAAGAAACCAGCCCTACGGACACCTTGAGTTTTAGCCCTAGAAGACTCATTTTGGACTTCTGACATCCACAAGTATAAGAGAATAATTTGTGTTCTGGTTATTTGTTACAGGGGCAACAGGAAATAATACAATGAGATACCTCTTAATGATAAACCACTCATTACCCGAACTCATATCCAACTTAAAAAGAACACAGGCTAACTAGCTTAATGAAATGAAAAGTAGTAGCCCTCATCATCTGCATAAAAATATCTGATGACAATCAAAGTGTTATGATTGGATATAAGGAACAGACATTTAACTTTACTCAAGTAATTCCTAAACCACGAGAGGATGTCTACTTGTTAATTCTGAAATGAATTTTTCTTAAGTGAGGACATAGGACATCTATACTTTCAAATCTTCATTACTATAAACTTCAATTTCCAGAAACACTGAAAAGTTCACTGAAGTTCACAGAGTTTTATTTTATATTATAGTTTCATTGATACTTGCTTCTTGAGATTTAACAGATCTGGCAAATGAGCATCTGCTTTACATGGGCATTGAATATGAAAAGCCATTAAAGAGAAACAATTAGATTTTTGAAATCAAGCTTATGGTTGCTAACCTTAAAAAAATTTTATGTTGCAGTAGATAATTGCTTTTATTCTGCTACCAGATAACTACTGATAATTAAAATAATTTACCTGGAAGAAACTATACTTCACAATTCAGTAGCTTCTGTTATATTCATTATAAGAAAAATGATACATTTATTTTTCAAATAAAATAAAAAAATACTTCTAAAGAATTCTAGACACTATTGTTAAATGACATATAACCTATTTTCAAGATGACTTCCAAAATTCTCAAGGACTGTAATGAATTAATGCCTACAGAAATAAAATTCCTATTGTAGAAGATGTCATCGTACAGGTATACTGATTACTTCCAGATGTTAAATCTTAATATCCTAATCCCTCTAAAAATATTTTTCTTCAAATGTTTTCCCTCAATCATTAAATCCTTTTATTATTTAAAAGGGAAGACTTTTTATTTTTATTATTATTTTTTATTGTTAACGTTATTCACCATATATCATTTTTTTCTTTTTTTTTTTTAAAGATTTTTTACTTATTTATTTGACAGAGAGAGAGAGAGAGAACACAAGTAGGCAGAGCAGCAGGCGGAGGGAGAGGGAGAAGCAGACTCTCTGCTGAGCAGGGAGCCTGACGTGGGCTTGATCCCAGGACCCTGAGATCATGACCTGAGTCGAAGGCAGAGGCTTAACCCACTGAGCCACCCAGGCGCCCACATCATTAGTTTTTGATGTAGTGTTCCATGATTCATTGTTTGCATAGGGAAGACTTTTTAAATGCAGAAATCCATCTTCCTACATCAGAAGGTAGCAGAAGGACAGTGGGCGCCACAGAAGGGCCCTTACAAATAAGCAATTCACTGAAGCTTGATACATAGACTGCTTTGTTTTTGTGAATTAAGCAATTCAAAGTCTTGTTCTCTACCAGAAAATACAGAAATCAAATGAGAAAATTTTCTCTATTTCTTGGATCCACATGATTGCCCTTCAAAAATATCTCAAAACAAGGTTTAGGTGATAGAACCACTTACAAATGAAGCTACCAATAATGAGTTTTATTTGTTGGATATGTACTAAGTCTAAATAAAGACTCTTATTATGTACTCTGCTCCATATATCTAGCTTTTCATAAAAAAAACTTTGATAATGCAAAGACTGAAATTACTTCATGTATCCAAACCACTTTAAAACAATTAAACATAGAGAAAGTCTTTGGAAATTCCAGAGAAAGTATAAAATACTATCAACTTTGCACCTTCAGTACCACTGTACAGGGGGGTGCCATATTCTAATATGCCCAATGTCCACCAGAGAGTGGCATTCACTCAAAACAGTGGAAATGAACAAATTCCAAGACAACTACAGACAAACTCTCTGGACTTCCTCAACTACTGAAGTACCTCTTCAGTCAGCCTTCTTTTCAAATACAAATTACTCCATGGTCTGAGGGTTTTTCAAATAGAAATTTAAATGTTTAAGTATTTCACTTTCTTACATCACAGCTGGTTATGATTAGAGTATACTTGAATAAAATAATACTCATACAGCACTTTACTGTAAAGTGGAAAAGGCCAAGCAAGATTATGACGCTCTCCTCTTTAAAGACAAGAGTCTCTTAAAGGTTAATTGTCCAAGGTCACTCAGCTTATGAGTCAGAATTCAAACTCTGGTGTACTGGTTTTCCAAACGATTTTCGTTAACACCATACATGAGGAAACTTGGAATCCCCTGTGGTCATTAAACACTTACTCATGTCTACATTAATTAAAATAGAAAAAAAAAACTTTAAGGAGAGTATCTCTAGGCGCAGCGTAACCAACAAAGGTGATTTCTGTACTATCTGCACAGTGTGTTGACAACTTGGGTATAGCCAAGGAATCCCAAGTAAACAAGATTTCTCATGAAAGAAGTTAGAGTCCAATGGTGACCAGTTGTAGTTCTCAGCCTTATTTTTCTGCAGTATTCCTTTTGTTTCCACAGTACTATTTTCTTCTGATTTATTCTCTGTGAACTCTCAAATCTGTCTGTTTCCTAGGCAACTCTACTGGACACCTCCACCTGAATCCCCTGTAAGTGCCACAAATACAACAGCCTCCGGTATTTTGTTTTCTCCACATAAACTTCTTCTCGTGAATTCTCTATCTTACTTAATGATTCCATGACCCTCCAAACTATTTGAGCCAGAAATCTTCAAGTCCCTTTGACTCCCCACTTCCATACATTTTTAACGGGTCATCAACTCCCATTGATTCAAGTGGTGCTCCACTACCTAGTCACCCATCACCATATCCGATATAAGCCTCTTACCTGGTATCCTTGCCTCCAGTTCTTCTCCTTTCAAACTCATTCTCCACACTGCTGCTAGAGTTAAACTCCTCAACTGCATTCATTATGTCCATTTTCTGCTTGAAGGGATTTAAAAGCTTTTTAACTGCCTCAGGATCAAGTTCAAATTCCTCAAAATGGAATTTTTTCAAGCCCTTCACAATTTGGGTCTGACCTCCCTAATCCCTTCATTTTTATCTCCATTTAATTCACCCCATGCATCTATAATGCCTGTACCATATTCCTTCAAATCTTACTTGTACTTTAGGAACACACGACTCATTTCTGTGACTCTCCCTGTAACACAGTGAAACTCACGCTTCCTTCAAGACTCAGCTCAGATGTGATTTTCTCTGCAAAGGCTTTTCTGAGTCTCTGGCTCTTCTATTTTGTGCAAAATTAATCATCTCCTTCTTTGCTTTTTTCCAGCAACTAGAATCCTTTCATTCTAGTAGTCCCAGCATGTAGCAAGGTACCTGACATATGATTTCATTAGTTTGCTGAATGAATGCAAGAGAAAAGTTTTCACTGGAAGACTGATAGTACTTTGGGTGCATTATCTACACTACTTGCTCTAAAACAGAATTCTCCTAAAGATAAAGAGAGACTTCTGGAGTGAGAATGGAGAGGAGGATACAGAAAGGAAAGGAAGGGGAAAAGAGAAACCTGTATGAACCACTGTAGGCGACACAGAATACTGCAACAAGAAACTCTTCAGATAAATACAAGATATAGGTTTACCCCGTATCTCTTTGTAAAAAAAAAGGGGGGTGAATATAAAGGCAGTTAGTAAACTTTTGAAATGTTTTCCCCAAATAAGGTAGACTGTTATTAATACTTCCTTTCAAGACACAAATTTCGTTTTACCCTCCCCAAATTAGATTTAAGTATTTAAGATGAAATTAGAAATCCTTTCTCTTCTTTAAATACTTGAAATTATAGTCAGTTAATGTAAGATGATTTAACCTCCTACACTATTACCCACATTTTGCTCTGGCTTCAGGATATATGTTCTTTAATTTCTAAATCTGGGTTTAAATGTTCTATTCTGATTAATGCATAGAACAATTTTTGGTTATTATACTTACTCCATTTCACTAGGATCCGAAGAGTACATGTGAAATTTGATATCAGAGGTCAGAAAAAAAAATGAAGGAAAAGAATATATAAACTTCTGCTTCTAAGCTAATTTACTTTATTTAAATATTAAGTATATTTAATATATACTCCACAAATAATTAATAGACTAAAAGAGGGAAATTTTTTTAATTGTCAACATTACTAGTATATTTATAAAATATCACTCACTGTTACCTTGGCAAATGTTGACCCACGTCCTTCTGACTCAATTGTTATAGTTTTTGTCCGACGTAGTAAAATCTGATCGATATCCTCCTCACAGAATTTAGAGCCTTCATCTTCTTCCTCCATAATGGCACCATAAGCACCTCTTCGAAGCAGATCTTCTATTTCCTTTTTGGAAAGCTGTTGAATCTAAAGAGAAAATAATTTTGGTAACAGTATTATTATGAAGTTCCTAAAATGAGAAAACCATCCCTAAAAATTTCCAAAGTACACGGAGTCAAGTTTAAACTGCCTCTGGGGTTTATCATATATACAAGAGAGAATTCTCTGAAAGAACACATTGAAGCTGCTGACTTCTTTCTTATTATCTTTAAAGTAGTATTTGCCATGTGCCTCTAATAGCTTCAGTTATGACAAAGCCTATCGGGCAGATAACCTCTGAAGGTTCTTTTTAGTACTAGGATTCTATAGCTATTACAAGCTCTAGATATAGGGTAACAATCTTGAGGGGAAAACATGCTCCCCAGAATCACATAAAACAAAACAAAGCCAATGCCAGTAGTTTGACACAAAAATTTGAAAAGCTGTTTATAGAAATAATGCAGAAAAATTCACAAATTCTGTTTTGCTATGCCATGATACAAACATCCTAAAAGCAGAGCAAGGAAGTTCAGCCTTGAAAACATTCTTAGAATTCATGAGCACTGGAGCAATATAGACAGGACAGATTCATAAGCATTAACTAAACAGAGGTCTATTCTGAAATGCCTCCTTACATGAAAGTAAGTATTTCACATTCAGTATGGATCAAAATTAAATGATATACTACCTGAAGTTAAAATTAAATACGAGTAAGAACACAAACACTACAAGTGAAAAGAAAATATACATACACCACCAACATTACTTTCTCTTCCACTCATGCTCTGTAACACAGCCTTATCTAGACCCAGTTTCAGACTGGCTCGGTCAAACATCTCTCTCTCATATGAGTTACGAGTTACTAGTCGGTAGACTTTAACTGCTTTATTCTGACCAATTCTGTGGCAACGAGCTTGGGCCTATAAAAAATGAAGTTACAGATTCAGTTTACTTTACAAAGTAGCACAAAAGGAATTACACAAAAGGCATTTAACAATAGACTATCTCAATGGAATATAAAAGTATGGAAGAATTTTTAGAAACTCTTGCTATAGAATTAGCTATAACCTTTTTCTAGAAATTAAGGTATGCTTACTAAAATGAGAAATGATTCCATAATCAGCAGTAAGTTAAAATTTAAGCTTGTATTTCAGAGAATATAAATAAATCCATGAAGAATTAAAGTTTTTAAAGAGGGTATCATCAAAATACCTTTAGACTGCTGTGTAAACTGCTATGCTATGTAAACTGCTATGAACAGATTATTTTTAGCTGCTGGCAACTCAACCTTTAAACTTAAAATATAACTCTGAATTTCTCGAGTTTTTTCTACTACATTATCAATAAACTTTTCAATACATTTTAGTTATGCTGGGTAATTTGGAGGGGGGACAAAAACTTAAGGTGAGTATCTCCAGAGACATAATTTTACTTAAACAAGGAAAGAACCAATTAGTTAATATGCATATGTATTGGAAGTAGAGACCTTGGAGATTATAGAAGAACTTTATTTTTTACAGAGAGAGGGGGAGAAAGTGAGAGAGAGAGAGAAAGGGGGGCAGGGGCAGGAGAGGGAGAGAAAGTCTTATGTAGGTTCCACACCAGCCTGGAGGCTGAGGCTCGACAACCCTGAGGTCATGATCTGAGCTGAAATCAAGAGTTGGACGCTTAACCAACTGAACCACCAAGTGCCCCAAGAACTTCTTATTTTATCTTGGGGTTCCACAAAACTTAAAATTTATGTTTTAAATTTAGACTCTAGAGGTTTCAAGGAATCAGTGGCTTTCTCACAAATTGCTAATCACCTTCCCATTATCTTCAGAAGACTAAATTATAATTTGTGGCTTTAAACTTACAGGTGGCATTGATGCTATACTCTGTTGACATCTTTATTCTATCATATACTCTTTGTGCTTTTTACAACTCAGAATTGTGGGTGAACAACCTTGCTCCAAGTGTAGGGAAAGTATAAGAGGCCAAATGTTTCATTGGTCTATGAAGGCTAGATCTACATTAGCAGTACGTAGGAAAAAACCAAGTGCGAGGAAGAAACTGGGGAGTCTGATACAGGTTTTCCAGTTTCTCCTCAGGTTCTATCATGTGATTTTATTTTAGATTAAGTTTTAGAACATCAAATGTGCTGCAGGCTGTGTAAGTATAAACATGCATCTAAAAGGCAAAAAATTTATAATTTTGGTTTCTCTTAGAGATTGGTAAACTATACCCTGTGGACCAAAACTGGCCTGCCAACTAAGAATGGCTTTTACACTTTTAAGGGACCATAAACACAAATGAGAAAGCACATGTGGCAGACACCTTATGGAATCCATAAAAGCCTCAAATATTTGCTAGCTGGCCTTCTACAGGAAGAGTTTGTCGCTGGTCTATTAATTTTGGATCTCTGATATTTTGAACTAGATTACATATAGTTACACAAAGGAGAGGTTAAAACCTTATTTTTTATTGAGCTAGGTATATTCTCAGTAAAAATTTACCGTATTTGGTATTATAACAGCTTAAAGTAATAATATTAATTATAATACAACAAAGCCTACCATGAACAATAAAAGAAGAATTTCTTAATCTTTGTTCTCATATCTATCCTAGATGCTTATCTTCTACAAACTTTGATGCTATTTCATCACCCTACTAATATTAATACTCCTGTTTCTATGAGGTCCAAGTACTATCTTAACTTAGACGTGTATCTTAAAGTTTTACAGTATTTCATAAAAAGGCACAGTCTGTTAGGTCTTAATTCTATGCAGATGATACTATATGATAATTGAGAAGTTGAAAATAGGATAAGTGCTTATTTTTCAGAAAGTAAGATTCTGAAATTTTTATTTATTATAAAGAACTTTAAAAAAAGGATTTATTTATCTATTTGAGAGGGAGGGAAGAAGGGAGGGAGGGGGAGAGAGAGAGAACGAGGGAGCGAGAGCACACACTTGTGCATGTGGGGCAAGGGAGGGGCAGAGGGAGAGAAAAAGTCAAGTGGGTTCCACGTTGAGTGTAGAGCCCAAGGTAGGCCTCGATCTTTACCACCCTAAGATCAGCACCTGAGCTGAAACCAAGAGTCAGACACTTAACCAACTGAGCCACCCAGGTGCCCCACAAAGAAAGCTCAGGCCTCTCTCAAGTTTACATAATATACTTCAAACAAATATTGTACTCAAGTAGATAAACCTACTTAGAAGACACACAATCCAGATAAGTATATTTCCTTGTCATTAAATGAAAATTGAGATAATTTTAATCTATTTGTTTGGCAGAGATATTCCTTAGGGAAACACACAATGTCCGTTTGTTTAGATAAAAACGAGAGGGTGAGGATCAAAAACAGTTCTAGGAATGAAAAAAGAAATTTAATTCTTCTGCCAAGCAATGTATTTACCTGCAGGTCATTCTGAGGATTCCAATCAGAATCAAAAATTATACACGTATCAGCAGCAGTTAGGTTAATGCCCAACCCACCAGCTCGGGTACACAGAAGGAAAACAAACCGATCTGAATCAGGTTTACTAAATCGATCTATAGCAGCTTGTCGAAGATTCCCTCTGACCCTTCCATCGATTCGTTCATACAAGTACCTATCAAAGGAAATGCCGTAAGTTTAGTTAGATGAATACAATGAAAATAAAGACATACTCTATCAAATGTAAAGCCAGTTTCCTTGCAACATTATGTTTACTATAAAATTAAGAAGCAGTATCACCCCAACGAGTTTCTACGGTTTTATAATTCTCAGTGCCGGTGGTAGGGAAGGAAACACACGTAATACGAAGATACAAAATCTTTGCATTCCTCTTGTATAGGTAAAATGCCATCACAGTGAGTATCATTTTCAGAAGCTGGAATTAAACACGCAAAAACTATCTTGCTGACCTCATTATGATAGTATATAATGCCTTTTTTTAATCAAAAGCAAAGGCTTTCACAGAAGTTCAAGAAGCCTACCAATGTTTCTCTGTCTCAATCACGTTAATCTCTCAAGATACAGTTTTTTTTTTTTTTTTTGAGATTTTATTTATTTGAGAGATCAAGAGAGAGCAAGAAAAAGTGCAGGCAGAGGAGAGGCAGAGGGAGAGGGAGAAGCAGACTCCCGGTGAGCAGGAAGCATGACCATGGGGGGCTAATCCCAGGACGCTAGGATCATGATGTGAGTTGAAGGCAGAGGCTTAACCTACTAAACCACCCAGGCACCTGTCTCAAGATATATTTGATTGTAGACTGTATCTACCAAGGGCGAACTGAAATACTAATTTTTTTTTCAACTTTTTAAATAAGTATTTATTGAAAGGATTTGAAAATAGTAATAAGGCTTTTTGCCTCATTTAACAGATTTTCAAGATATTAACAATATTTGAAACATTAAGAATTTAGGTAAAAAACCCTGTTGTCTAGAACATTCTAAAACTTGCTGTAGAATGCCAATTCTTTAGAGTGGATTACTGTTAAGCAGTTACTTTTTAACTTATTTTATCTTTCCTCATTTACATAAAATTCAGAAACGGACAGCCATTAATAAAATTAAAATATATAAAAATTTAGAAACTAGAAGAGGAATACACAGGATATTTGCCACACCTCTTCTGGTTCGAGACAATTCTTTACAAAAAGAATTTATCAGAGTCTCAGAAGGAGCTCACTGTTGTCTCCAGTACCTGTGAAATGGGGTGTGACCTCTAATAATGTGACATTAAAGATATCTGGGGTTTTCCATGAAGCTCATCTTTATCTTATAAAGTTCTTTGTATCAGGAAATCAAGAAAGAGTAAGAATAGCTATTTTTAGGAATACTGAAATTTTATCTTCCTTCTTACTTATGTGATATGAAGTTGGGAATAAAATACATTTTGGAATTAGACCAAAGAGTAAAATACCGACACTAAAAACAGAACTAGAAATAAATGAAAAATAAAAATGAACTGCACAACTTCTGATAATCTAAATTACTACAGACCTTTACTTATATATAAGGGTCAAAACCCGCTGAACCAAAATCTACAGTCACATCTTTAGATTCCCTTTCAGGGTCACATGTTGGTATCTGACTGGAGCACTAACTAACGTTCTGAGAAAATAACCCACAATGAATATCCTATTCATCTAGATCCTAGTTAGCCAGTATTGAAGACTATCTTATCGTCGTGCACCAAAACAAAAATCAAACCCCACATGAAACAAATGAGAAAAGACTGAAAGCATGAACAAGGGTCAAATGGTATACAGTGAGAGTCAAAGTGTAGCAAGTTCAGGTTCTCATTACAACAATGAAAGATGTGAAAAGGTACTGAACCATTTTTTTTTTTAATTTTTGAAGATGGTTCATTTAAAGTGTCATTACTGCAAGATTTACAAATCAAGTAAGATGGACACTAATAAACCCATTCTTTTTTTTTTAATTAAAAAAATTTTTTTTAAATTTATTTGACAGACAGAGATCACAAGTAGGCAGAGAGGCAGGCAGAGAGAGAGGAAGGAAAGCAGGCTCCCTGCTGAGCAGAGAGCCCGATGCAGGGCTCGATTCCAGGACCCTGGGATCATGACCTGATCCGAAAGCAGAGGCTTTAACCCACTGAGCCACCCAGGCGCCCCTAATATACCCATTCTTAAGTCAACAAATACTTGTCAATTTACAAAGGTTTCTTCATCAATCTCCTTAGCCCCACCAACTATTTGCAACATCCGCAGGTTAGAGGAACACCTGACCTGTAATTGTAAACTACCTTTATTCAGATTTAAATGGGTTCTTACCTAGATAAAGAGCAAGAGGTACATAAAGACAGATTACAGTACAATGATGCAAAATCTTGAATAGCATATCCTTCGTGTAATTCACAGTGTAATTCAGTAGATGAATCCTATGCCTTACCTTTTATGAATGAGATAGTCCTCCAGGATGTCAAGGCAGCGTACCATCTGAGAGAAGATGAGCACTTTATGACCTCCAGCTTTCATTTTGGGAAGCAATTTATCAATAAGGACCAATTTACCAGCAGACTGGATCATTGCTTGAAGATGAAAATCAGAAGCAGCTGGATTATATGTATCTCTAAATTCTCCAAGTATTTTCTCCTCAGCACCTGCCAAAGAAACATAAGAAGATAGCAACAGTGCACAGATACAGGCAACCCCCGGTTGCTTTCTTTTTAAAAAAATGAAATTAGTGCTCCTCTGTGCTTCTGTAATACATTAAAACTTTCTGATGACAAGTATACTGTTTTCATTAGAATTATTTATGTTTGTGGCTAAACACCCATCAACACTAGACTAAAATTCCACTGAGGATGTGGACAATGTCTTAGAGCAACTTTTGGTCTCTCCAGATCTCTGGCTTAATGCCTTATATAAATTTATGTTTGCTAAAAGTTTAATGAATGCTATTAGGGAAAGAATTAATGAAAATGTGGTTCTAACCTACATGAGTAAACATGTATTTTTAAACATCTCCTATTTAAACACCAATACAACAGTGATCCTCATGAAAGGGTGATCATAATCTGGAGGTGTCTATGGGTATCCTGCTCGCCATCAAAATAAGGAAACAAGGACAATTAAAAGGGAAGTCAAGTTATAGGTCTTTGTGATGCATTCTTCCTCAGGGAGTCCAATCAGCATTAAAGGCTCTCTACCTTCCCTCCACCCATCTGGTCATTAAAGAATAGGATTGCAAGAGAGTGAGCTCCAAGGCTAAGAAACCACAGGGCCTGGATAAAGATAGAAATATATTCTCAGGAATGAGTGAAAAGATAGAGAGAACACTAGCAAAGAACCTAATAAGACCTTAAAAAGTAACATTACTATAGTCCAAAAGCTGAGACTCTAACTGGAGACCTGGACTGGCTAGAAAGAGATCAGGGGGAAAAAAAAAAAAGGAGGAATCCAGAGGCCCAAAGGAGGAGGATTCAACTGGAGAAGGAAATCCAGTCCAGGTTAGACTGAATGCGAGTCCACTTCCAGTAAGCTGGCATGCAGCTGATCATAGGGTGCCCTCAATTTGAAACACTTGTACCCCCTCAGAGCACCAGAGCTGGAGCACTGCTGCCTTTCCTTGTAACAGCCACTGCAGCCGTAGTAGGTTTTTAAATTTTTTCAAATTCATGAGTATTTGTTCAAGGAAATAATCCTTTTTGGCTACCTTTGATAAGATACGGATGGTTACAGCACTTCCTGAGCTCCATCATGGTATTGACCAAGTTAGGGACATTAGTCTGCCCTGCTCCTTTGGATAAAAATGAGAAGTTCTTCTCCAAAATAGCCCGGTAGTATTTCTTCTGAATGTTAGTAAGTTCCACTTCAATGATGGTTTCTTCCTTTGGTGCCAGCTTCTTTTCCACATCTTCTTTCAATCTTCTCAACATCATTGGCTTTAGAATAGCCTGAAGTTTCTGCACCTGCGTAAGAAAATGATGAAAAGATGTAACACCTATGCACATGCAGTTACAAACTCACATACACAATCACAGTGATCAGAGGGTTGACGGTCTTATTTACAAAGACCAACGAGGATACCTGCTCCTCTGTTTTCAGATCCCCAAATTCTTGCATAAATGTTGATTCAGAAGGAAACCTTAAAGGTTCCAGAAAGTGAAGAAGACTGAACAGTTCTTCTACTGTATTTTGGAGAGGTGTGCCAGTCAGAAGCACCTTGTGTTCCTACATAAAGCAAGAATAATTCATGTCAAACACCGCAGGACTCAAGTTAGATGAAAGCTGATATAGGTTATTAAATATTCAGTGTTTCAAAAGCAAGTATTTTTCTAACCACAATTTTTAAGAGTCAATTCAAAATACATCTCTACTTAAGAATCTTCATTAATTTACTTTCTCAATCACCTTTTAAAAACTCTGTATCAAAATAAATAAATAAATAAATAAATAAAAACTCTGTATCATTCTTGTAATACTTGACTTAGCATGCTATTTTTACCTATTCAAGAATGCTTTTAAGAAAAAGATTTTAAATAATTAAGCATATTTTAGATTTTCTCAAAGAAACAGGCCAGAAAAAGAACAAATAAGGTATTTGTTTCTTTTGTACTAAACAATTCTTGATATGGCAATTTGTATACAAAATGGTTCTTATTCTTTATAATTTGGTTAATCATCACTTGACTTTTCACACAAGAACAATTCTCAAATCATTAAGGCTATAACGTAACACTATGAAGAGCTGATTGGAATATGCTTCTACACTAGACTTGTATTACAAATTAAACATAATAGTAATAGAAATAAATATTTTTGATGATAGTATAAACTATCATTTAAAATTTAACAATATCTCTAAATATTTAACAATATCTCTAAATATTTCTAAATATCTATGTAAATATCTAAATATTCTAAATATCTCTAAATATTTATTCTAAATATCTCTAAATATTTAACAATATCTCTAAATATTAAAAAATAAATTAACAAAATCTCTAAATTTCTGTATGTATGTCTGTATGTGCATATGAATGTATATACTGGCAAATGTTTAGTTTAGAAAGATACACACCAGTCTGTAAATCCTGGAGTGGGGAGTGGAACTGGGGATGGGCATCGATAGAAAGGAAGTAAAAAAGGGCGCTTCAATGTTCTATGGAATGTAGTTCTGCATACTGGAGTTATTTGTTCAAGTGTTCATGTACTAATTCTGTCATTGTAATTAAATGAAACTATTAAAAAATGCAAAAGACTGATTTGGAATAAGCAAACACGTTAGTAAGAAGACGACTTTTAAAAATCTTATTAATTATAACCAACATATGCGGAACATAGGGAATTTTTTTCCTTAGTAATTAAAACAAAAGAAAATGCAACAAAACTCACAGATAAAATTCAGATAGATATATACTCTAAAAAGGAGTGAGTTTAGTATTAGCTCTCTGCCTCTATCTGAACTTTCACTATGTAGCTAAGAAACTGCATTAAGTAATAATAATGATAAGTTACTTACCAGATTCATGAGTTTCAGACCTTCTAGAAGTTTACAATTTTTATTTTTTAACCTATGTGCTTCATCAATAATCACACATCGCCATTCAATTGCATTAAGCTCTCCACAGCCACCAAGAATCATTTCAAAAGTGGTGATGATGGCTTGGAATCTGTAAGCTCCTCGAATGATACGCCCCTAGAAATTTATTATCAAATACAGTAATTTGCTAGAATGTCATCATCACAATTTTTAATTCCTGTCAAATAGCATAAAAATACATCTAATGACACCTGCTATAAAACATTTTCCACTGGAATTTTTACATATGCACACATGCCCTTTAAATGAGGGATTTTAATGTTAAAACTGTATTAAATTGTAGTGTTTTCAAGAATAATGTAAAAAATTGTGCCAACACAATTATTTAATTTATAATTATATTCAAATAAGTATTCTCTGATAAAGTGTTTTATAGATATTAGGTGTTATAGTAACAATTTTAGATCAAGAAATAAATGACCATTACAAAATTTGGACAATGAAATTTCAGTTTTAATGTTTATTACTTATATCCGTGAGTTTACACATACAATAGCAAATCAATAGTTACTATCAAAATTAACCACCTGAGTAGTTTATTCAGCAAATATTTATTGAGTGTGTATGTGCCAGACCCTGTTCTAGATGCTGGAGATAATAGTAAACAAAACAAAAATAATTATCCAAGAGAACTTAGAGTCGAATGATTCAAATGTAGGACATAGTCGGTAAGAAAAAAAAGCAAACTAAAAAAAAAAAGTCAGAAAGTGATAGAGCTGTGGAATAAAATAAAACAGGGATAAAGAATAAGTGTGGGGTCAAAGGTGATCACTGAAATTTTATGGATTGGCTGGAAGGCCATTACTGAGAGGTGACATTGGAGCAAAGTCCCGAAGATGAGAGAGATCCCGAAGATCCAGGTGATACCTAGAGATCTAGAGCAGAGAATATTCTTGGAAGAAGTATCAAGTGTGAAGGCCCTAAAGTGGAAGTATCTGTGGCAGTCTTCGCATGGTAAGAATGCCAGAGAGGTTGAAACCCATGGGGTGTGGAGGGATGAAGCTGTACTGGGACCTGAAAGTGTGCTAAGGATTGGCTCCTTCTCTGTGCAAGAAGCTACTGGGGGATTGTGAGACAGGAAGTGCTATGATTTGACATGTATTTTAATAGTCCCTTGCGCTGCTGTAGTAAAAATAGTCGTGAAGAGGCCAAGGACAGATCACAGAGGCCAGTGAAGGGACTGTCCTGGTAATCCAAGCAAGAGATCATCATTGGAAGTCATGAGAAGTATTCAGTTCTGAATGCATTTTAAAGGCAGAGACAACAAGGATTTGCTAACGGATAGGTGTAGAGTGAGATAAAAAGAGGATTCAAGCTTAACTGTAAAATTTTTTACCTTGAACAATTAAGGTGGTGTTGCTACTTACAATGAGAAAATTCAGGGTTCTGGACATGTTATGTTTGAGTCGACTAGTGGACATCCAAGTGGAACAGCTGAATAGGCATTTGGAAAGGACTTTGGAATTCAGGAAAGAAGTCAGAGTTGGTGGTAAGATTTGGGAAGTTTCCAGCAGTATAGCTAGTACTCAAATTATGTGACTGAATGAAACCTCTGATGGAATGAGTATGGATATAAGAGAGTCTGAAGATTGAGCCCTGGGGTCACCCCAAGTTTAGATAGGGAAGATAAGAAGGAACCAGTAAAGGGAGCTTCAGAAGGAATAAGTGGTGATATAGGACAGTATGAAGTCCTAGAATCCAAGCCAAAAGAATATTTAAATGGGACTGAAAACTGTAAATTATCATGGACTACGAGAAATGAAGGGTTAAGAAAAATCATATATTCTGATTTAGAGTTTAATTCCTACTAATTAGATTAATTCATATTATTATATACAATGGCCATTAAGTTGAATGACAGATCCAGCAGAATACTATTAAAAAAGGCATAAAGTGTACGTCTAGGGCATTTATACAGTTCTAACAACTGGGGACAGGATGCATTCAGTTAAAGTGATATCACAGTGTTTAAGAACAAAGGTTTTTGATTCTAAGTAATCCCAGTTTCGCCAGGATTTTGGAGGAAACCACATAACTTTTTACTTCAGTTTCCTCATTTGTAAATGGGGCTAATATTATTACCTATTTCCAAGGTAGGCATTACAAAGATTAAAGGAAATACAGATCTAAAATATCTGGCATACTGCCTGGCACATGGTAAATACTCAATAAATGTTTGTGATTATTAGTGTTATTATCTTTACTTTTTTCAGGGCAATTCAGAAAAATCTTAGCATAATTTTACTACTGCTATGATATCAGGCTATTTAATAACTTGAAAAGGCAGAAGTTAAATATTCAATTAATTAATTAATTAATATTAAAATTACATGAAAGAGTTAACTCCAAGTTAAATATGTATCTAAAGCACAGCTCTATTTAGAGGAGACATTTTTTACCTTTTTAAATTTTAAACCTGTCAGATAGTATTCTTCTAGAGTATATAACATTTACCACAAAATATAATATTTAATATATACTATTCAGTTTTTAACCCATTAAGAATCTTTTAGCTTTCTGACTATCGTGTTTATACCAAAATCATATGAGACATATATTAAAACTATAACCCTTTTAAACACTCAAAATCCCAATATTTTAATAATACCTTCTGTAAAAAAATGAGATTGAAGTCAATCATAATCATTTTTATGATCACCACACAGCTCTTAAATTCTACAAATGTATGACTGAGAAGAATAAAACACTATGGAAGGATATCAAACTATAATCTGAGATGTCAGAGGCTTGAAAGGTACAAAGGTAATAGTTAAAATAAAACTGAGGAATAACTAAAGGGTTATATAGATGCTTAATTTCATAGGAATGTAGTTGTTTCAACCATAAAGTAAGAGGGACTAAATCAATTAATTCATCCATTTTCCATTCTGAATAGGTAGAAAATCAATTACAACTGGGAAGAAAAGCAGTACAAGGCTAGGCACATTAACTTACTTCAACCTGCATCATTTCACATGATGCTATCAATCATATGTTATAATGATCCTTATAAAACAAAAGAATTAGTGAAAGAAAAACAAAGTATTAAGGTGCCACTGAAGCCGAATGTTAGGCAATAAACCTATTCCAATTAAAGAGTGTAACTTTGTGCGAACTGTGTTTTTATTAATCTTGTTCATTATTTCTTAATAAAATTCTTAATCTAAAGAGTCCTATTACCACTCAAAACTGCAACTGGCACTTAATGCTTTCTAGATTTTTAACTTTCTGTTAGAAAATTCTTTATTATAATGTTATCCCTTAATTTTATGATGTGTGTATTTAGCTGAAAAATAAGAAATCTCCTACTAAGCTTCCTACTGAAGAGGCCAAAGTAAAATGGAAAATATGTCTTCCGGATACAGAGGAGAAGAAAACCACTCAATCACCAGAGCACTGGAGTAATCAATCCAAAGGGGAAAAGAACAGAGAGGTATGCTTGTATCTGCATACAAAACAAACCAACCAAACTTTAAGATATGTCTAAAATCAAAATCCTTTGAACGTGAAAGAGAACCTACGGTTTCATCTCAAGAGGCATTTAAACCCATGGTGTTCACTGAAGATTTTAATTTTAAAAATGGAGGGAGAAAATTGGAGGCTGATTAAAGAGACAGGTAGTATTCTAAAAAATAAATTTAATGTGTGTTTTTTTAAAAGCAGTTAGTAAAACAATTATTCTAGTTGAAAAATTAGGGATACAATCAAATTAGTACATTTGTATAAATCAGCATACTAGATAGTGAACCAGAACGTGATCCTAATTCCTTGTCCCTGTTCTCTTGAGCTACTCAAGTTTATTGTAAAATAAAGATGATGAATAAAGAGACTGAACTAAGATATATGTAGGCAAATAAAATTCATCCCAAATTTGAAAATAATGAATGCGTAATAATTGGCTTTTTCAAACTTGGCCTTTCAAACAACAAACAAAATCACCAGTAACACACCTGTGAGTCCCTGAAGTACATCTCATATTGCTGTATCATCTGTCTGCTAATCAGGCTCCCATGATAAACCACAACATTAATATCAGTCCACGTACGAAATTCTCTCTCCCAGTTTGCAATAGTAGAAAGCGGAGCAATAATCAGGAAAGGTCCTCTTATACCAGTCAGAAGGATTTCGTAGAGGAATGTAATTGATTGAATGGTTTTGCCAAGACCCATTTCATCTGCTAAAATGCAGTTTCGTCTGAAATAAACAAATATATTATCCATGTATACAGTGGGTTTTTCTGTACACTATAACATTTTTAATGATAAATATATAAAAATAATCAAAGATCAAGTTAAAATACTTGCATTTATAAAAACATAAAAATTGCTGAAGTGCAGACAAGGCAAATCCTTTTGTATATATATATGAAACTGTAATTTCATTATAATCCTGCAAAGGGAAAACTATAGATTTCTGTAGCTCCAAAACAAAGATAACACCTGTTAGAGGTATGATTTTGTTAAAGAATGGCAGGAGTAAGACAAACTAAATATATTATTTATTCAGGAAGCATTTATTAAATACCTTCTCTATCTCAGGGACAGTATGAGAAGATGGGATACAAAAGAAACAGAACATGTTTTCTGCCTTCCAGGGGCTTGTATCTATTAGAGAAGCAGACATGCACATAAGTAAATAAAAATCATACAGTGTCCTATCATGGAAGCACAAACAAAGCACTGGTTTTCAACTCTGGCTGTGCATTAGAAGAGCCTAAAAGCCTGAAGAAAACACAGATACCCAGGGCTCTCCCCTACACATTATGGAGTAGGACAAAGCAGGAATAATTTTTTTTTTAAAGTTCCACAAATGATTATAATATAGGCCCAGTTGAGGACCCTCGGGGTTAAGTTTATTAAAGAAGCTCAGCGGAGTTAAGTGTCCAACTCTGGCAAAAAGAGATGGTAGGAAAGGAGATCTCTTTCAGGGAAGAGGTCAGTCACGGGTAGGATTTTGCCAGAGAGCACAGCAAAGGAGCAGAGGTGTAAAGAACACGATCAACTGGGAGACTACAAATGTGGTTTTGAGACGAGGATAAAAGGAGGGGGAATCACTATGATATGAAGAGGTCACAATAAAGAACGTTGGACATCATTCTGTTATGCAACGGGAGTCACTTAAATTTTTAAAGAAACCCAACGCAATTGTGTTTGTACTCTGAGGTTCACTCTGGCTCTACTGTGGATATTAGAAGGTGAAGTGAGTAGAAGCTGGAACACTGAGTGGGAAAGTACTGCAAAAACGCAGGGAACAATGGCGGGCACTTGGACTAAGAGGAGAGAATGGATTCCAAAGTTAACTATGACTGAGAATGATTTGGATTTAGTGACCAGCCAGATATATGGGGTATTGGATGACAGCCAGATTTCAGTCTTGTTGACTAAATGAGTCATGTTATTTATTTATTTATTTATTTATTTTTTTGTAGGTTCCATGCCAATGTGGGGCTTGAACTCATGACCCTAAGATCAAGAGTTGCATGCTCTACTGACTGAGCCAGCCAGGGGCCCCTTTATTGCGTTATTCTTAATGGAAATACAAAATATGTCAGAAGAACAAGTTTGGTACAGAGGAAAGGGGAAACGAGGTTAATTTTGAATTTTGTGCTGATAAAAGAACAATGAGATACACTGTAAAGTAGCAAGAGGCAAACAGAAATATGGGCTTGGAATTCAAGTTAGAGATATCTCAAGTTAGAGATAAAGATATGAGACCATTAGGATGTTATTGATAAATGAAGGCATAGGCTGTGTAGAATATGGCTTAGGATGAACAAAACTGTACTGCAAGGAAAGAGCAAAAGAGCACTGTTAGGAGGAAAATGCAACACTGAAAGGGCAAGCAGAGGAAAGGAAACCAGCAGATCTCCAGGTCACAGGGTCTGGAGAGAGTCCCGCCGTAGAAGCTGCTGGGGGTGAGAATGGGGGAAGGTTTGCAGAAGGAGCAACCACAACCCAAAGCAGCAGGGACAAAGCAAACTAGGGGTGAAAACTACCCCTCGGATTGGGAAGTTACACGTTTCAAAGACAAATTATCACATCCAAGCAACAGGTTTAAAGCGAGCTGGAAATGAGGAAACAGGAAGAGCTCCTGTTGGCTTTCTCACGAAACTACAGACAGCTCAAGGTCGCTAGAAGGAAAAACAGAACCAACAAGAGAAGGCTTATCCTTTTCTTTCTTGCATTTTTATGAAAGGTTAGACCCAGATTTGTCCACAGAGTGAAGGGACAGCACTAGTCTTGAGATGGCTTGAAGGTGTAAGAGTGCAGGAGGACAGCTGATGGAGTGAGGCTCTGAGAAAACTGGCTGTGCGGCATGTCAGAACAGAGGTGTGGATAAGTCTAGGTTGTGGAGGCACCTTTTAACTTCTGGCACATGAGGACAGCTAAGAAAAGCTAAGAATGGAGATGTTTGTTGGCCTGGCTGTGAGGGCAGGCAAGAACTTGAACAAGCTCACTTACGGGCCCTAGGCTTCTCTATGGAGCAGTCACGTTGGGGTGAAGAGGGTAGGGTTGTGATAGATGGCCTGCGGAAAGTGCTGGAAGTTTAAAACAAGCAATGTGGGCAATGGGGAAGGGTAGCAACGAGGAGATTCAAGCAAAACAATACTTTCTTAAGTATTTTGCCTGGAAGGATCCTTGGGAAAAATGATGGTTAACATTTAGAAAATTTAAACATTTAGAAAATGATGGTTAACATTTAGAAAATTTAAACATTTAGAAAATATTAACATTTAGAAAATATAAACATTTAGAAAATATGAGCTCTAGAGGAAAGAGCTCGGTGTGGAGTTAACAGGTCCCCCCAGCTCCACATGACTGAGTCTCAGGACTCACAATTACTGAGTGCAATGACTCAGAAGGATCACCTGAGAAGTAAAAACATGGAAGAATGATTTTGAATAAAAAGTATCATCAAACTGTCCTGTTATTACTCATCACAATGCTTTTGCTTGCTCTCTTGTATATGCCACTATACTTTCCAAATCATGGGTCCATTTTTCACTTCTTCTGCAATTATCTTTACATTGTAAAAAAGTGAGCTAATGTTCCACCCAGCATTTTGAACAACTTGGAAAATAAGCAATTAATAGAAAGCATAAATTCATTACTAGGTTCTTATATTTTGATTTCTATTCCTCATCAACTGCTGACAATCTGCTTCTCTAAAGACTTAAATAATAGACCTACTTAATTCTTACTGATATAATTGCTCACACTTTACTAACTAGATTCAATTACTGGCAGACAGCAGTATAAGCTGGTAAGTTGAAAAATACTCCGTAACATAACAAATGTTTTATGATGGTGAGAAAGGCATTTCAAATTTTACTATTAATCATCTTTTCAACTTTCTTCTATTCTGACTGGCATACATTTAAATGAAGCAAATGAAGTAAAAATCCTAAATTATAATTTACACATCTTCCTGAGATAACCTCACTTTCAATATAAAGACTCCATGACAGTAATAATATAGCAACATCAGGAACTTACTTAACATATTTTGACACATACTAAAAAAACAACACATTAAGCTTTTTTTCTGTTGGTACACTACATACCTATTGTACCAATTGAACAAGAGCCAGTTGAGTCCTTCTAGTTGATATTCCCTGAGTTGATTGCCATTTTTATAGTCCCTGGATTGATCAATTTTTTTCCAAATATTAGCAGGAGGACGATCCTTTGTGGGAAAACAAAGAACAGTGTATTCCAGATTTTTTAATCTTGCACAAACCTCATACATGGTAAAAACATTGCTTTTAAAATAATTATAGAAGCATAACATTATACAGTGTTATGGGGAAATATTACAAATGTCTAAAGACCACATTAGTTCTCCACAAACTCTTCCAGAAAATTGAAGAAGATAGCATATGTTCCAACTCATTCCATGAAGCCCAGGCACTAAAATAAAAAATATTACCAAAACAAAACGAAACAACAAAACAAAACAAAAAACCCACTACACACCAATATCCCTGGTATCATGACCAAGTAGATTTTTCCCAGGAATGGAAGGTGGTTTTATCCACAATATGGCGCTAGAACAACTGGATACCCATAAGCAAAAAATGAACTTTGATTCATACATGTATTATATACAAAAATTAACTCAAAATTCATTATAGACCTAAACGTTACCTAAAACTAAAAAACTTCTGGCAAAGATTTCTTAGCTATAGCACCAAAAGTATGATCCATAAGGAAAAGATAGATAAACTGGACTTCATCAAAATTAGGAACTTTTGTTCTTTTATACTGTTAATATAGTGAAACTACAAGCCACAGACTTGGAGAAAACATTTGCGAATCATATATCTGATAAAGGACTTGCATCTAGAACATATAAATAATTCTTAGAGCTCAATAATAAGAAAGCAAACAAGCCAATAAAAAATAGGTAAAATATATGAACTGGCACCTTATTAAAAAAGATACACTAGGGCACCTGGGTGGCTCAGTGGGTTAAAGCCACTGCCTTCAGCTCAGGTCATGATCCCAGGGTCCTGGGATCGAGCCCCGCATCAGGCTCTCTGCTCAGCGGGGAGCCTGCCTCCCCTTCTCTCTCTCTCTGCCTGCCTCCCCTTCTCTCTCTCTCCCTACTTGTGATCTCTGTCTGTCGAATAAATAAATAAAATCTTTAAAAAAAAAAAAAAAAAAGATACACTAATGGCAAATAAGCACATGAAAATATTCTCAACATCATTAATCAGTAGGTAATGTAAGTGAAAATCACAATGTCATACCAATATCACAATGTCATACCATTATATATATACTAGAATCGCTAAGATTAAAAACACTGTTCCAAGTGCTGACAAGGATGTGAAGCAATTAGCACTCTTACACAAGGCTGTTGGGAACGTAATATGATATGACCAATTGGAAAAAGCTTGGCAGTTTCTTAAAAATTAAACATATACCTAACATATGATCCAGCCATTTAACTCATAGCTCTTTACTGAAAAGAAATGAAAGCACATGACTAGACAAAGACTTGTATACTAATGTTCGTAATAACTTTGTTTATCCATTCACCTGTTGATGAATACTTATACTGGCTATCAGAAATAATGTTATTACGGGGGCGCCTGGGTGGCTCAGTCGGTTAAACATCTGCCTTTGGCTCAGGTCATGATTCTAGGGTCTTGGATCAAGTCCTGCATTGGGCTCCCTGCTCAGTGGGGAGCCTGCTTCTCCTTCTCCCTTTGCTGCTTTCCCTGCTTGTGCATTCTCTGTCAAATAAATAAAATCTTTTTTAAAAAAGCCCCCCCAAAACCAAAATATGACTTATTTCATGAACAATTTTAATTCATTCCTTCTCTTCTGTTGCACCTCCACATTTTTTATGGCAGTTTTTCCTTACTCTGATGCTAATGGAAAAGTCAACTGCTCCTGCCTTTTCATGTATAAATTCCCTCTTTAGTGAAGTAAGAAATTCCTATGACCAAATTACATTTGAAAAAGGATGGGACAAAATATTCAATAAAATCCTAATAGGTCTCCTCATGGTAAATTTCTTTTGATTGGCTCCCCAAAACTGAATTCATATGATAATAATCCTATGTTTTAGGATTAAAAGTAAATAATTTTAGGAATTAAAAATAAAACATTAATTATCAACAATATCACAATTTGCCACAGCCTTCTAAAATTCTATAGTTTCTGTACCAGACAAGTTAATAATCTACTTTTTATTTTTTAAAAAATATTTTTAAGGGGCACCTGGGTGGCTCAGTGGGTTAAAGCCTCTGCCTTTGGCTCAGGTCATTATCTCAGGGTCCTGGGATCAAGTCCTGCATTGGGCTCTCTGCTCAGTGGGGAGCCTGCTTCCACCTCTCTCTCTATCTGCCTGTCTCTCTGCCTACTTGTGATCTCTGCCTGTCAAATAAATAAATAAAATCTTTAAGGAAAAAAAAAATTTTGTTAAGGATTTTATTTATTTATTTATTATTTGTCAGAGAGAGAGAGAGGTGGGGAAGAGAGGGCATAAACAGGGGGAGAGGCAGGCAGAGGGAGAAGTAGGCTCCCCGCTGAGCAAAGAGCCTGATGTGGGACTCGATCCAAGGGCCCTGGGATCATGACCTGAGCCAAAGGCAGATGCTTAACTGACCAAACAACTCAGGTGTCACATACTTTTTATTTTTTGACCAGGGAAAAGATATGCATGTAGCCAATAATTAAAAAAAAAAAAAAAAATCAACATACTGAATTTATGTAGGCTTTCAACAATATTCCATATAAAAGAGTCTTTTAAAATAAAGCTACTATGGGGGCGCCTGGGTGGGTCAGTGGGTTAAGCCTCTGCCTTTGGCTCAGGTCATGATCCCAGGGTCCTGGGATCAAGCCCCACATTGGGCTCTCTGCTCAGTGGGGAGCCTGCTTCCCCCTCTCTCTCTGCCTGCCTCTTTGCCTACTTGTGATCTCTGTCAAACAAATAAATAAAATCTTAATAAAATAAAATAAAATATGGGGCGCCTGGGTGGCTCAGTGGGTTAAGGCCTCTGCCTTCGGCTCGGGTCATGATCCCAGGGTCCTGGGATCGAGCCCCACATCGGGCTCTCTGCTCGGCGGGGAGCCTGCTTCCCCCTCTCTCTCTGCCTGCCTGTGATCTCTGTCAAGTAAATAAATAAAAATAAAATAAAATAAAATAAAGGTACTATGGAAGAAGATGAACTGTAACTATTTAGTTATGGAGAATTAACTGGTTTTTAGAAAAGAAGGAAAAGGTGGGTATAATAAGGATTTTTCCTTATTATAGAGATAGAGAATTAATAACTCCAACTTGAGCTGAAACTGGTATTTTTGATATTTTTATAAATGACCTGAGAGAAACAGTAGTGGGAAACTCTTAAATTCAGAGATGAAACAGAAGCATTTGGAACTTGCCGAGGGAAATTTGAAGGAAATACTCATCAAAATCATAAATGCACATATGCTCTAAGTGATTACACTTCCGATTTGTCTTACGAGGCTTGTACACATGGGTTCAATGTTCAATGCAGGACTGTTTATGAGAGCAAAAAACTGGAACACACACTAATGGAGGAATAATCAAATTAACATACATAAGATACTATGTGGCAATTTTTAAAATAAGGTATTCATTGTACAACAAAATCACAATTAAAAATGCAACAATTACATTAAACCTGCTGAATAAAAGAAGTGCTAAGATTTTATGAAGTTGTCTAAGACATGATTCTTACCAAATGTCTTGTGTCAGGCCTTGAAGCTTGTAACTGTTCAAACTCTTCTATTTTTGCAAGATCTACGTCTTCTTTTAGTTCCCATGTACTATCTTCGTATGGTAACGAGCACCACTTTACTAAGTAGTAAATAACAGGCTGTAAAAAAAATTTATTTTTTCGTTTTACTATTTTGAAAAAGAGTACTTAGAAACAGTTTAAATATACTTAACCTACATCAATAAAAACCAATGAAACATTTTTCAGTGTTTTTAGGTCATTAATTTTTAAAAAGGAGTAAGTTTTAATATTTGGAAAGTTTGAGGTTCTTCCTAATTAAAAAATTTTTTCCCCTAAATATTTACCTCACCAGTATCTTTATCTTCACAAAAAGAGACTTCTAATACTCTGTCTACTTCAACGTAGTCTGGGTTAAATGGTTCCTCTTCCATCTAAAATTAAAAAGTTAACTTAAGTGATAATTGACAAGTAGAAAGATAAAAATGAAATAAACAAATTTACTAGCTATTTTCTAGAACAAAAGAAGTTTGATTTCAATGAAATTTTCAATAAGTAGCTCACTTCCCTTTTAATTTCCAAAAGGTATCTAGGATACTTGTCTATATAATGAATCATCACATTATGTGTATAAAACCAACTGAATAACACTATGAAATAAGATACCTCAGACAAGTGACTTACTCTTGAAGATACATCCTTTAAAATTTTCCTAGAAGAGCCTCCGCACCTTTCTTGTGCCACTTTCTTCAGGTCTACGTGTTGAAGACCAATCACCCCACCTCTTCTCTCAGCTGCATCATTATTTTTTAAAAAATTGTACTTATTTATTTGAGAGAGAGAGAAAGCACGAACAGGGTAAGGGGCAGAAGGAAGGGGAAAAGCAGACTTCCCGCTGAGCAGGGAGCCCAATGTGGGAGTCGATCCTGGAGTTCCAGGATCACGACCTGGCCAAAGGCAGATATTCAACTGACTGAGCCACCCAGGAGTCCCTCTATCAAACACTATCAACTGATGACTCTTGGGCTCAGGACCCAGTTATTCCAGTGGATGCCAACTCTATCTGAGCTACCTCAAACTGTACTCATTTACTCTTCAACCTTTGCTTCTTTCCTATAGTTTCCTTCTAGGTTAATGGTAACACAGCACCCCTTCCACACTTTACTCCCAGTTACACAAGTCAGAAATGCAGAAGTCAGCTCAGAGTCCCTCTCTCTCTCTCTCTTTTTTTTTTTAATCTTCCACATCCAATAAGTCATCAATTCTGTCTTCAACTACAACTCAAAATGGTTCCTCCTTCCTCTTTCTCACTGCTTCATCACTTCTTACTTGGATCTCAACAACCGCTTAATTTTCAACTACCTTACTGCCTCCCTTTAGTCCATTTTCATAATGACCCTAGAGTGATGTTTCTCAAATATAAATCTTATTTATTTCGCTGCTTCAAATCCTTCACTGACCCTCCCTTGTTTGGGGATCAGGCCCACACTGGTTTTGAGGATCCTACCTTGTCCTCTAGCCTCATCTCCTATCATTGGCACTGGTGCACCCCAAATTTCATGCTTCCAAAGTACAAAAACACATACTTTTCAAACTCCATGTTATGGCACACCTCCATGTTTTTATACTCCTCCTCCTCTCTTCTGAACAGACTGCTGCTCCTTCTCTTGTCTCCCTGGCTGCTTATTATTCCTTCCTGAACGCCTCACTTTCGATAGCCCTTCTTGGCTATCTCTGCTGCCTCTCCTCCTCTGCTTAACCTCTAAATACTGTAGAGCTTCACGGTTCTGTCTTTAGTTCTCTTTACTGTCTCAAATCCTTCCTGAACAACAGTATCATCTCAGGATCTCTTGATAACTGCCCAACATCAGAATGGTAACCAGGTACTTTAAGACAATCTGCATAGCTCCAATTCATGTTGTACCCGAGTCAAGTGAAAAAAATTAGTCTTTAAATTTTTGGCCTCCAAGCATCCATAAACTGAGTAGGTCATCAAATTTTTCAAGGAGATTTTATAAGTACAAAGGAAGTAACCATAACTTCATGGTGAAAAAATCTGCCAGAGACCACCATAATCGAGTGATTAAAGTTACCACCACAGGTAATGGGGCAAACAGATAACACTCTCCTCCTCCTTCAGTGAGAAGGGTACAGCATCATTTCTGTGGTGGTCTTTTATTTTAAAAATATTTTAATTCCAGTGTAGTTATCATTCAATGTTATATTAGTTTTGGGTATACAATAGAGTGATGCTCTTTTAAAAAAATGCATGACTTGAATCCTGAGGCAACATTAGACAAGCCCAAATTGAGGGACATTCTACAAAATAAACCACTTATACTCTTTATAAAAAAATGTCCAAGTAATGAAAAACAAAGAAAGACAGACGAACAGAGACATGACAAGTAAATTCAACATATGATGCGGGATTGGATTCTGGACCACAATAAACACAAAAACACTTTTTTTTTGCTATAAAAAGTACAATTAGTGAAATATGAGTAAGGTTGGTCTATAGATGAGCTAATACTATCTCAGTGTTAATTATACCATTATTATGTGACAGAATTTTTAAAAAATTAAATACTGAAGTATTTGCAATTTACATTCAAATGGTTTAGAAAAGAAATGTATGTGCATGGGAGGGGAAGAGAGAGAGAGAGAGAAGAGGACAGAGGCAGAGGGAGAATAAATGTGAGTGACAAAGCCGACATGGTAAAATATTAACATTTAGGGAATCTTATCAAAATATATGTAGGAAAATAAAACATACAGCATAGGGAATAGTCAGTGGTATTGTAATAGTGCTGTATGGTGACAGATGGCAGTTAGACTTGTGCTGAGCATAGTATAATACACAGACTAGTGGAATCACTAGGTTGTACACCTGAAACTAATTTAACACTGTGTGTCAAGGATAGTGAAATACACACACACACACACACACACACACACACACACAAATGGGAATTCATTGTACTATTTTTGCAACTTAGATTTTTCAAAATAAAAACTCAGAAAGTTCTTCAAATTAAAACATCAAAAAATTTAGATGAATTTAAAATTGCTCTAAAACAAGCCTATTAAAAGAAAAAAAAAATTTAGAGCAGGAAAGGACATCAAAGTAATTAGTGAGGCCTTTAAAATGAATTATGCCTATGATGATTTGTTCATACATGCACAAACCTGGCATAGAAAATATGCAATGTATTTCACATACTGAAAAATCTTAAGTTTCCATTCATTTGCTATATTACCATTTCCATTACTTGGGTAACTTTGCTGATAAAATTCTTGAGATATTAACCCACTCATATTCAACTCTAAGTACTGAAATACATGCTAATTTAAAAATACAAGAGTTATCTACCACTCTGAATTATCACTGTGCCTGTTTCAGCTAGTTTCCAAGCTAAATTTGGGGAGAGAAAATTACTTATGTAGATAGCATTTATATTCAAATACCAAACTTGGAAGCCTAAGAATTAAAATGAATAATACTTAAATTTTTGATAAATACTGCATGTGTTCAGAGTTCAACACATAATAGTTTCATTTATTTCTTTTTCTTACATCAGCAAAAAAATGTGCTCTTTGTGCTTGTCTCAATTTGAATCGTTTGATTTTCTGCTGGATCCTTTTATCTTTCAGAAGCTGCTGTTCAGTGGCCCACTCACAGTGAAGATAGGAGCTAAAATTTGTATAAAAGCAATATATTAGAATGACACAGAATAACACGTTTTGGTTTTTTAAAATTTATTTTGAGTCATAGCACTCAATACAGAATATTCAACTTTATGAACAGGTAGCTCATCATTTCATTTAATGTTAACAGACTCCATTTAATTTATAAAGCCACTGTGATCACTGTATCTCAAGGATGTAGTATAAAGATGTGCAATTTGCCACAGAGAAACAGAATGATAAACCAAATCACAAAGGTAACAAGATGTGATTTATCACTTATCTCCTCATTGTAACAGTTTTGTAATGATCAGAAAGCTAACTTGTTTTGAAATCAGTGTTAATTCTTTTAAAAACAGTTTTTCACCCAAGTATAGGAATAATGTGAATGAAATCTGAAAAATTAAACAATATAAATATAATAATGTCTATCATTTATAAAAGAACATTTTATAAAGATTCCTGCATTTTGATGTTAATAATTAACACTTCCTGAAAAAAAATTCACTTAAATTTTACCACAAAAAGATTTTGAACTAATAAAACATTTGAAAATTCAGGTAAAATAAAAGAAATAATTTAACTTAATATGTTTAAGTATATTTATATATAAATCAGCATTTTCTAACTCAGATACTTACTAATTCTTATATTTTACAAAAAATTCTTCTGTATCAATCATTACTCCAGGTGATACCTAAGAAAATAAAATCAATACTTATGATTTTAAGAATAAGGCCATGGAATATAAAGGGTAAAATGTAATGTGCGATTACTTACTTCCTTTTTTACAATTCTAGAAGATAGTATTTTGTCTACAATTGCAGCATCTTCTTCACTTGGATTCTCCTATGGGAAGGAGGAAAGAAGACACCATGTCACATTCTAAAAATTCCTTTAGCGGCCACTTTGTATGTTTATGAACACACTGAAACTCAGTTTAGTTAGTACATGTGTCAGGCACTGTGTTAAATGTTAGGAATAAAAAATGGAAAATGAAATCATTGCTGTTATTGTCCTCATCATTATCTGCATCATCATCATCATGGTAAACACACTGTGCTTCTTAATTGGCTCAGCATTATTATCAGCACTTTGCACACATTAACTAATTTAATCCTTGCAACTACACTGCGCCACTGTCATCTCTCTGCTGTACAGATTAGGAAGCTCAGGCATAGACGACTAAGTACTTGCCCAAGGTGGCAAATCACTCAGTTGGCAGAAGAGTGGTTGGTTCACAATCCAGATAAGGAAGATTAAGAGAGGAAATTGCAATATGCAAACACAGAGAGTGCACCTATGTTCATAAGGTCAGAGGATTCAGTGCTTGTAAAGAAGTTGGAGAGAAGACCAAAAAAATCCATACAAAGGGCTTTATGTGATGTGCTAAGAAGGCATCATTATTTTTTGTTAAGACTTGGGCAGCTCTAAGAGAAGCTTTAAGTAGACAGTACAATGATCAGGCCTGTAACTTAGAAATATTCTACAGAAAAGACAGAATTTGGAGGAGTTTCAGAAATATATATTTAGGGGGTGAAAAATGTGGTGATAAACCGGATGGCGAGGCAAAGGAAGAAAACAGAGAGAATGAATTCGTAGGTTTCTGATCTGAATAATTACTGGTTCTATTAACTACAACAGGAATCCAGGAGGAAAAGTTGGAGTAGGTTTTAGGAGGAAAGATAATGAAAGTATCTTAAAGTATGTTGATTTCAAACAATTTGTAGTCATAATTCCAAATATGTCTTACCACAAATAACTGTAAAGGCTGTTCGCCAGGTAAAGGAGCTGAATTCTTTTTTATTTTCATAGAACCTTTAACCTCTTCTTCAGATTGCTTCCCTTCTACATCTTCTGCATATTTTTTTCTTTTAATTTGACGATTTGATCTTCTTTTCTGCAATGAACCATAAGGAACATACTTATATGACCGATTTTCAAGGCAAGATTTTTAAAATAATTACTTTTAGTGTGGTAATTTTGTAAATTAAATTTCTGAAATTGTGTTCAACCATCATCTTTTCTCATTTTTCCTTTTAATTAAAGGAAGATTATAATTTGCCCTTTGCCACAGGCTTAGAATCTTGTTTTACTTCCTAAAGTTTCAAATAACAAAGATTAGTAATACCTCGATTACTTTTCTTTAGAAATTGTTAGGAATAAAAAGATTTACTTTATTTAACTATTTCATAGCTTGGACAAAACCCATTTTATTAGTAATACATTTATTGCTTAATTATCTCCTTTTAGAAACTATCATTATGAAGAGTAAAAACATGTTTTATTTAGCTATTTCACACGTTAGGCAACACATATTTTAAACTGTTAATACTGTCACAGTTTCTGCCCCAAACCTTAAAAGCGCATCAGATGAATACTGGCTAAATAATTAATCAGGGACATAAAACTAGAAGAATAAATCAATTATTTGCCACAAAATCCATGAACTTGTGTTTAAAACAAAAGAATATAAAAGGTTTTAGAAGAGATACACAAAATAATCAAGTAAATCTACCAAATAATTAAATGTGTATGAAAGAGGAACCAGTGTTTTACTAACTTTACTAGCTTCCCTTAAAAATAAAGAACATCACAAAAAAAAAAAAAAAAAAAGAACATCACTATCAAAACCAGAAGTAAGCCTTTTGAAAAGTATTACATGTAGTACCATAATTTTAAAATAAACTAAGTGATTTTAAATCATGTATCAAATACACATGGCTTTACTTACCTCCCTAAAGATCTAATATTTAATGTTCCTCACTATAAAATCAAAATCTCACGTTGGCCTGACAACTTCAAAGGACTTAGGTCTGCTTTTTTCCACCTCTTTAAAATATCATGGGTGGAGGCATCTCAGCCAACTTTTCTATTGCTCAATATTTGGTAAATCTACCCCTTCTTCCTTTTTCTATGCCATTTTCTTTAACATGTTTAGTAACTCCCATGACATTGCCCCATAATGTAACCTGCAAAATAACCCATGTATTTTCTTTTTGGTTTCTGCCAATATCCTCAATTTGGCAGGCCTTTCCTATTTCCACAGCCATGACAAAGATGGCTCAGTCAGTACAGAAGGCTGGGGAGAAACTGTTATCTGCATCCAAAAAGTTGGCAGTGGCTTTTAACCTTACTTTGCTTCTTTCTCTTAAGTTGTGGACTATGGTGAGAAAGAAAGGCACTAATACGGTAAGTTAGCTCAGCCAAATAGAGTAGATAACTTCATGGCTCATTTAGAATGGGTCTCACCATCTCTTGGCCATGAAGACATTTACATTTTCAAAACTCAAAGTAACACTTCTGTTAATATGGGAGACAGGGAAGGTGGCTATAAAAGTTATAATAAAAGGACTTCTAGAAACCCAAACAAAACAAAAACAAAACAAAACACTGATTTTTATTATTACTTGAGAGAAAAATTCTATGGATATCTAGTCTAATACAAGGCTACAGGAATATTTAGAGTTCTACAACAGGTATCATATGGCTCTGAATATTGAAGAATAGTTTAAATTAATAAACCAATGGTGACATTTATTATTCTAATAATAACATGTATTACAATGTTATACCAATTTATAACATAAATCTTCTAAATAATGAATAATTCAGTATACTTTTAGAAGATTCTGTCTCATGTTTTCAGCATTTACGTTTCCTTTCTGGTCATTTAGGCATCTATTAGTTCTCTGAGATGCCTCACTTAGGTCTTCAGTAAATTGTAAATTAGTGGCCTGAAAGAATCCTTTGAACTCTCAAAAGTGCAAATTTAATTGATTCTTCACAAGATAAAACGAGAGCAATAAATTTGTAAACTGCACCCTCATGAAGACTTTATCAGTCTAAAAGATTAATTAAAAAGTCTGAGTTATATGATTATAGCTGGAATATTATAAGGTTATTATAGATATTATAAGATTACAGCTGGAATCATTACAGTGGAATAAATTATATTCTCCTAAAGTACCCAGTTACACATCAGGCAGAGCCAAATGAGGCACCATTTTCATCAAATTACTTTCTCTGTCATGTAGTATCACTACTACTTTAAAAATATAAAAACTAATTTGGGGTATACATTTTTAGCTGATGTGCTTTTTTCTGGCTTTCTTTCTCTTAATGTTTTCAAAGTACAATTTAAAATAGTGAAAATTCTTTCTTCAAATGTCTTTTTTCCAGCTTTTTTTCTTCTTAGAGCATTCAAAGGATCAGTCCACAACACTTCACGTAAGTGGTCAGAAATACACTTGTATATGACTAATACTTTGTTATGGTAACACATTGTTTCCTATAATAATCCTAATATAATGTGCTGCAGGTTCTTTTTTTTTAATGAAGTCTGCAAATGCAGTCAGACTACTGAAGTACTGTGTATTAAGATTAAAGGTAAAAAATTAATTATCACATTCAGATTTTTAGATTTCCACCTGACTCCAAGCCTGAAACTTAAATTACTTTTTCGGCTTTCAAATCTTGATGGTCCCTGGTGGTTAAAAAAGACACGGACCTCTCCATCATTCATATTATACATTTAAATATATCAATAATACAGATTTATAATCATTTTCTAGAAAATATTTCTTTTCTCCTCCACTTATATTTTTGTGTTAAAGCAACATGCCTATCAAACAACTAACACTGCAATGAAAGGTATGGAAGAAATGTGCACGTTAACCTATTCTACCATTTCATTGTTTGGTAATTACATAATGGAAAAATGGCCAGCCTTATGCTAGTAAAAATTAAACTGAATTTTCTCATGGTGAATAAGGTAACTGTAAGTCTGCCTGAGTGAAGGATAACATGTGACAAAAAAGCCAGGCCATATAATATTAGGAGCTCAGTTACTGCCCTTACCTCAACTCTTGCAGCAGCCCAGGAGCCTTGAGCCACTACTCTCCCATTGGATAAGAAGCTGCATAAGGAAGAAGAAAGGCCATTCAGGGGCTTTCTGGCCCCATAATTCAACAACTGCCACCACCCATAAGGCCTAGAGTTGTACTTAAATTATTAGAGAGCAGAGGGTGGCCTGAATTATTATGACCTTCCCTATATATATACATTTTCTTTTAAACTTCACAAGGTTAGTTTGAATAACCACCTATTAAAAAAAAAAGGCAAAATGCACAGTATGCTTGTTTACATTAGGGGATTTTTAATATAACTGGTTATCTTTTCTTTGACAGAAGCAGACCAAAGGAATTATCTCTAGGAATGATTCGAGCCATTTGCTCTATCACTGTATGTGATTCTAAAACTTAGGATCTCCATCCTTAAGTTCATTCAAAAGCACTCTATAAGTATAGAATAATATCACTAGATATTTCTCCATGCTAAAAGCCATCAGGGACTTTGGACTATTAACCTCTCCAGGATTTGGTTTCACTGTCTGAAAAATAAGGGGTTTAGAGAGGGTACGTAAGTTTCCTCCCAGGTTGGACATTCTACGGTAATACTACTAGGAGCATATTATCATAATGCTGTCTTCGAGTTCTACCATCTAATAAAATGTAGTTTTCCTACTAAACTATAGTATAAATAACCATAAAGCAGTTTTAGGCTGTCTAGGTAATTCTATCAGTGCTTCATTTCTCAGAAAACAAATGCAGTACTCACTTGAGAGTCTTCCTCTTTGCATGTATGCTGTGGCATCTGCTCTGTATCAGATATCTCATCTGAAGACTCATTCTTTCTTTTTTGTTTCTTACCCAATGTAATAATGAGTTTGCTGTTTCAAGAGGAAAAGAGTAAACAGTATGAACTCTCTGCCTTTTTCCATTTGTTGTCATATTAAGATTGCAATGATAAACTTTTTTCCATTTCATAACACATGAATGTTCAACCAGAGAGGGTAATTATCATGAAATCCATAATGACGTTTTCAAGACAAGAACTGCATTCTAATGGAACAAACACAAACCAATGTTACAGTTAACATACTTTTAAGCACAGAAAGGCACTCAAGTTCTATCCCTTATTTCTCAAGCTCAAAATTATTTTTCATGGGAGAAAAACGGTCAAGTGCTACAACTGTATTTAGTAATTAAAATAATTCACTTATTGTCTTATAGATTGGAATGAGGTTTTCTCCCCTTCTACCTCTTACAAAATTCAAATTCCACTTAATGTCCTTATACCCCACCTATTCCCTAGAAGCCTTGACTGTTTTTTCCCTAATTTCTCCCTTACTTAAAACACTTTAAAAATGAATTGTCCTTTAATTATTTCATTTATGCTACGGCTTATCCTAGCTGTACTATATGTTCCTAGAGAGTTAAAAACTTTTTCATTTTAAAAAATATTTCCACAGTTTGCCTGTCTCTCTCATATATATATATATATGTATGTGTATATATATATATATGCATATGTATGTATACATATTCGTATGTATACACAGACACATGAAATACAAATGTTTAAAAAGAAAATGTGCTTTCAGTTTTTTTCCTTATCAAGGTAGAAAGTACAGAGCTCTGACATTTCCTTATTTTGGTTCAATAGATGAGAGGGCATGATTTTGAAGCACCAGACTAATCACAAACCATGCTAATTGCTAATCAGGGAAATTCTATTTTAGATATCTATATTCTAAACAGAGAAAATTTCCCCAAACATTTTCAAGTATGATGTATCAGAAGCATAAAAGAATTTTCTTCAACAATTACTTATTAATGTGGGAGAACATGGAGGTTAAGAGCACACACTTTGAAATCACAGCATCAAAGTTTTTTTTTTTTAAGATTTTACTTATGTCTTTGACAGAGAAAGATACTGTGAGAGAGGGAACACAAGCAGGGGGTGTGGGAGAGGGAGAAACAGGCTTCCCGCTGAACAGGGAGCCCAATGCAGAGCTCGATCCCAGGGTCCCAGAACCCAGGGATCATGACCTGAGCTGAAGGCAGACGCTCAACAACTGAGCCACGCAGGTGCACCAGCATCAAAGATTTTAAATGTGATTCTACCATTTGCTTATCTGTAAGACACCTGGCAAATCGTTTGATCTCTTTTAGCCTTAGTTTCCCTTCCAGGAAAATAGGGATCCTATAATAGCTACCTCTACTGTTGTTGAGAAGTAAGTGGGATAATGCAAATGGGGGGGGGTGGTTCTTAGCAAAGTCCTGACACGGTACTTTCTGAACTAACCTCTAATTATGATATGCCAGACACTTCCAGGTTCTAGGATTTGAAGATAAAGTAGACACAGTCCCTAACGTTAAAGTATCATTGTTAAAATATGAACATGGTTCAAACGCAGAAGTGGAAGTTAGTACTGGATGGAATGTAAACACAAAAGAAGTGCTTCTGTCTGCTGTAAAGAAGTACCTTTACAGAAAAGGTAAAGTTTGAGATAGGAAATGAATGATAAAAGGGAGTTCAACTGGTAGTGAAAGAAGACAAAGGGTGCAATCCAGGCAGGGGGGTATTAGAGAAGAATGAGAGAAATACACAGGGACAAGAGCATGTCAGAGAGCCACAAAGCACTGCAGGAGGAGGAGGACGCAGAGAGAGATGGTCATCTAGACAGGCTGACGATCACAGAAGATCCTGTATGACATGTAAGGAGTTAACATTTTAGCTTAGGGCCAGCTTTTAAGCTCTGCAGGGCAGGAACTGAAACAGAATGTCTTGTTCACCACTGACAACAAACAGCTCGGAGATATTCTGAATACATGAAAAAAAGTAATAAAGCATTTGGAAGCTATGAGAATTTTACACAAATAAGTTCTACGGATTTAACATACAGCACGGTGATCATAGTTAACAATACTGCATTATGTATTTGAAAGTTGCTAGGAGAGTGAATATTCAAAGTTCTCGTCATGAGAAAAAATATTTGTAACTAGTGAGGTGATGGTGACAGTTCTGCGATAGGAACGTATGTCAAATTATTGGGTTGTACACCTTAAATGAATACACAATGTTATACGTCAATTATACCTCAAAAAAATTGGTGGGGGGAAGAATTTCAAACAAGAGAGCAATGCAACCAGAAGAAGAGAAACGCAAGGCAGGGAAACCAGCAGTCAGGCAAATGACAACTCGAGTGAGGCATGAAGAGTGCAACACAGGGCCACGCTGTGTGGATGGGAGGTGAAGAAGAAAAGCATAACTTTATTATGGAGGCACAATCAACAGACATGGTCACTGACTGGATGACTGGATACGAGGCAAGAAACCTCTGGAAAGAGTCACTCCTACATGATTCTCGTATGGCATGATTACCACCTTCAACAGGAGAAGGATGATTTTTACTGGGTATCTCACTTGCGTTCTTTGGACTACATGAAAAAAGCAAGCAAGAGTACAAACGCAGCTCATGTTGGACCCAGGAACTCAGAGGGAGAACAAAAAGATCTCCTGAAACAACATGAAGGAACCAACCATGCTTATATTTCATTCCCTCTCACCACTTTCACTGGTCACTTCTTCCCTCTTCTGGTCTCTTTTCCTTAATCGGGTTTCCCTGCTAACATAAAACTCTCTCTTGGGGCACCTGGGTGGCTCAGTGGGTTAAGCCTCTGCCTTTAGCTCGGGTTGTGATCTCAGTGTCCTGGAATCGAGCCCCACATCTGGGCTCTCTACTCAGCGGGGAGCCTGTGTCCCTCTCTCTCTCTGCCTCCCTCTCTGCCTAATTGTGATCTCTCTCTCTGTGTCAAATAAATAAATAAAATCTTTAAAAACAACAACAACAAAAAACCTCTCCCTTGAGGTCCTATCTACTGTTACATATCACAGGATCTTGTTCTTCCTCCTCCCCATCTGCCTATATGGACGGTTTCATTTTCAGTCCTCAACCCACGGTTATCTGACCTCTTGGAACTCCTTTACATCTTCAAAGCTTCCATTTAGCCATTGTTTATGGAGGCGGTCTCTGTTGACTTCAACATGCATTCTCTCATTTCATGTTCATACCATTCCAAGAAGTGAATACAAGCATTTTATAAGGAAATGGCGGCTGAGGAAAGTTAAATGCCTTGCTCAAAGTCACACCGAAAGACTAGAGATAAAAATTACGTATGCCTCACTCCAGAGCTTGAACTGAAGCTCTCAAAATGTCCCCAAAGGCAACCCCTCACTTTTCCTAAACCTGTCTTCTAATATGAAAGTATTATGTAAGTTGAGAAAAGTGCACACATCAAGAGAACAGCTTCGTGTATTTTCTGAAATGAACATAAATGTGTAACCAGCTTCTAGATCAAGAAACAAGACTGGAAGTCTCCTCTTCCAGTAAAAACCTCCTCCTTGATGGGTAAGCTTGATGCTCCTTGTGATTACCCAATAAAGCCCAAGGCACCTGCCCAGGTGGTATTCAGTGGCAAGATCAGGGATAACTCTTAAGTAAAATTAGGTATTAGAAATATATATGGGATGCATTCTGCCATCTGCTCAAATATTTTTTTGCCTAAATCTCTAGAAAAGAAGTACTAGTAAGTGCCGTGCCCCCCTATCAACCTCAGATACCTACCCTTTTTAGCGGAGGAGGGTAGGTCCTAGTAAAAACATAGCCCATGATACCTTAGAATAAACCTTCACTATACTAATTACTTGAAAATGTTCTTCAAAACAAAAAAGGACCTTTTAAATTGTGTTTTCCATATATTCTATATTTTCTTCCAAGCTGTTCTACAGGCCTGCAAGAGCACCTCATTTCATAAACTCATCAACCATTCTTAACCTATGCAAAAATCTTTTTAAAATCCTAACTTTGTAAGAGATATTTCAGATATAGTAGTTTCCTATTAAGCCTTACAGAGTTCAAAATATTTACACATGTCCTTTCTGTTAAAAAATGGTACATTTCCATGGTAGGAAAAAGGTGATTCTAAAACATTAAGTCATGCCTGACTGATCTATTTCTGAGTAAAATACAGACATATTTTAAGATTTAAAAACTAGGGTTGCTAACACGGAACACTGACTCTTGAAAACAATGAAGTCATACTGGCTTATTGTACAGTTCTAAAATGGCATATAGGGGACACTACAAAGGGGGACAAAGATTAGGTTGATACTGATGAGTAATTCCTAAATGTGTGAGAGGTAGGCTACATTAGAAGGCTGTCTGTTAAAAATAAGGATTCCTAATCAGAAATTATCAGACGAACCCAAACAGAGAGGCATTCTACAAAAAAAAAAAAAAAAGTTTTTACAAAACACAGAGACTGAGGAGTCATCCCAAATTGGAGGAGTGTAAGGAGGGATGACAAAACTGTGAAATGCAGGATCTTGGCCAAACAATGGAACAACTAACAAAATGTGCGTGAGGTATCAAAGTTAATAGAATTGCACAAGGGTTTTTTCCTGGGTTTTGGATAATCGTGCTTTGGTTATATAAGATGTTAACATTTGAGGAAGTTGGGTGGAAGGGGCTAAAGGAACTCTGACCTATTTCTGCAATTCTGAGATTAGTTCAAAGTAAAAAGTGGGGGGGGGGGAGAGAAAAAAGAGGAAGAAAAATACAGATTTGCAGGTCCCAACCTCAGGTTGCTGATCTAGTTAAGTGGGATTCCAATCAGACTTCTAAAAAATTCCCTTAAAAGATTCTGATGTTCCACCAGGTTTGGGAACCACTGGTTCAGGGTTACTATCATAGAGAACTCTAAAAACAAATATTCAGGATAATGTAATGATTTTATATTTATAGAGCACTTAAAACACACCAAAGTGCTTTTGCCTACAGTATCTTGGTTGATCCTGAGAAAAACGCTGAGATAGATAAGGTGC